CTGTTATAACTTAATTTATAACTTGTTCTTGTCTAAAGAGTCAAAGTTCAAATTAGTCCATGAGAGCTGCAGGTATCCTACACAAGATCATGGATAATAACCCTAATGTCATAATTACACCTGAAATCCTTTCTTAAAACAGGGGTCTAGTAAACCTACATCTGTAGTTTGATAATAAAGACACTAACATACAGTTTTAATGGCCAGGTCCTCAAACTGATGGTCTCTTGAGAGGAATAAGAAGCAATTTTGAAAATGCAGTAGTTTCTGGCAGACATTGGACAAACATCAAAACTCTAAATTTACAGCAAGCTTTAATAATTTTATGTGACCAAAGATCTAGTACCTTTTAAAATTTTTTACAAATAAAACATTACTTATGAGCTCAACCATTTTCTTAAAAATAGAAAGTAGCCCTGGCTGCTGTGGCTCATAGGTTGAGCGCCAGCCTGCAAACCAAAGGGTGGCTGGTTCGATTTCCAGTCTAGGGCACATGCCTGGATTGCTGGCCAGGTCCCCAGTAAGGAGCGCACAAGAGGCAACCAAACATTGATGTTTCTCCCTTTCCTCTTCTCTTCCTCTCTAAAAATAAATAAAATCCTTTGAAAAAAATAAAATGCCTGGCTGGTGTGGCTCAGTGGATTGAGTGCTGGCCTGAGAACTGAAGGGGGTTGCAGATTCGATTCCCAGTCCAGGGCGCATGCCTGGGTTGTGCGCCAGGTACCCAGTATGGGGCATGCAAGAGGCAACCACACATTGAAGTTTCTCTCCCTTCCTTCGCCTCTCCAAAAATAAGTAAATAAAATCTTTAAAAAAAGGAACAAGATAAAAATAGAAAGTAATAAACACATGGTTTATTATCCCTGCTCTCTCAGTAGCTCCCCTGAAAAGTCTGTTCTCCCCTCCAAAGGTAACAGATACAGCCCCTTATATCTACATATATTATATGTACAATACTTAAATACATATGTTCATGTGTACATATTTTATATTTTTCAAAAATGATATAAATACTATTCTACAGTATTTGTAGAGTATTTGTTTTCACTTCTGTCATTTAATATGATATCCTTTTTAGGTTAGTTCATGTAGCTTTACCTCATTCTTTTTATATGGGCTACTAGTAGAATAGTCCATTTGGATAAATGTACAATAATCTTTCAAGAATTTTTTTATTGGTGTGTATTAAGGTCATTTATTACTTCTCCATGCTTCAATTAATGCTGCCATGAACATTCTGAAAAATATCTTTACTTACACTTCTGCTTCTACAGGATATTGTATATTTTTTTATTTTAATGGACACTTAAATTACTCTCCAAAAATATTGTGCCCATAGATAACCCATGCTATGAATGGAAGTACTCATTTTGTTATGCCCTCTCCAGGACCACTCTATGCTTTTTAACGTTTTTAATTAAAAGAACTCTATTAAGAGATATTGCTCAAGAAGGTTTGGACTATTTGTCATAAGACTGCAATGCCCAAAGGAAGTTAGAAATAAAAAAGAGAGAGAGAGAGAGAGACAACAAATTGATGTCTCTCTTTCTCCCCTCTCTCCTTTCCTTTGTCTAAATATCAGTAAATTAAAATTTAAAATATTTCCCCTTGATTTATCCTACAGATGCATATTTATAAATATAGTGATATTTTTAAAGTTAATTAATATTATTATATTTGGAAAAATAAATGCTCATTGTTAGTCCCCCCTCCAAAAAAATCACACTTAGCTAAAACCCTTGGCAGCTTATCCCATGCATTATTATACTTGGGTTTTTAAGAATATAATTATCATTGTCAAATGCATAGAGTAAGTAGAAGTAAAGGTTACTACATAATAGCAGATATTTAGACAGACTACTTGTGGAGTAGTAGAAGGATTTTAGGCACTGAGGCTTATCACATCCATCTTACCAGGGAGCCAAATCAGGACTGGAAAGACCAAGCTCTTATTACTTGAATAAAGGAGCACAGTGATTATATTTGTCTTTTTTTCTCTTATTTTAATATACTCTTAATGTCAAAATCCAGGTGAAAACTTAACTCATTAGGATCTTGGCATTTCAAACTCCAGTCAGTACACTCTAAGCATAGAATTACGATTGTTGGGATGTGTGCTTCAGAGAGTCTCCTAGGTCTGCATTTGATCTGCAGCCTGATATTTAATGTCTACTCTTTGTGCTTTCCTTTATGAAGAACCTTTCTGTTGAAAAGTTACTAAAGTTCAGCTGGCGTTACCTGTAAAGCTTCTCACCTGTGCCCCTCCCATGTGGAATACTATATTTATACAAATTGCTCAGGGAGTGATGATTTGGCAGAAACAGGATCTTTTGATTATGAAACTCCACTACGGTGCTGTGTAAAGGATGACAGCTGCTGCATTTCAGCAATCCAAGGGTGTTTGTTGCATTAGATAAACTGCTTTAGGAATTAAGGTACCTAAATAGGGAAGATTTATATTTACATTTACATTTACATTTACACTTGGGAGTGGAGTTGGTAATTAGTATTGAAGAAGATGGACAGTGTATTGCCATCAGAGTAGTAGCAAGGCGCCTTCAAGAGACCAAGAAAGGTATTCAGTATTTTTGTCTATGAACAGATGTACAAAATGTGGTATCTAACGTACAATGGGAAGTTACTCAGTATTAAGAAGGAAGGAAATTCTGACACACGATACAACATACCTGAACCTTGAAGACATTATGCTGCGTGAAGTAAACCAGTCACAAAAGGGCAAATACCATTTGGTATACTAATACAAAGTACCTAGGGCAAATTTACAGAGAAAGTAGAGTGGTAGTTGCCAGAAGTTGGGGAAAGAGGAATGAGGAGTTATTGTTTAATGGGTATAGAGTTTTGGTACTATATTTTTTAATGATGAAAAAGTTTTGGAGATGGGTGATGGTGACGGGTTGTACAACATTACAGTGGTTTTGCATCATTTGAATGTCCTTAATGCCATTGAACTGTACACTTAAAAATGGTTAAAATGGCCATCTCTGATGTGGCTCAGTAGATTGAGCACTGACCTGCAAACTGAAAGGTTGCCAGTTTGATTCCCAGTCAGGGCACATGAAGAGGTTGCAGGCACATGCCTGGGTTGCTGTGTGCCAATTAGGGGCGTGCAAGAGGCAGCCATGTGTTTCTCATACATTGATGTTTCTCTCCCTTTCTTTCTCCCTCCCCTTCTCTCGAAAATAAATAAATAAATAATTATTTTTAAATGGTTAAAATGGTAAGTGTTATGTTACAATATATTTTACCCAAATAAAAAAATTTTAGATCAGCCCTTACACCGCGGTAGCCATTAAGGAGTAGCAGCCATGGCCCTCCCCTATCCCATGGCCGTGGTCCTCAACAAAGGCCACAAAGTGACAAAAAACGTGAGCAAGCTGAGGCACAGCCGCCGCCACGGGCGCCTCACCAAGGACACCAAGTTGGTGCTGGACATGATCCGAGAGGTGTGTGGCTTTGCCCCCTATGAACGGTGCACTGTGGAGCTGCTCCAAGTCTCTTAAGGACAAGAGAGCCCTGAAATTCATCAAGAAAAGGGTGGAGACACACATCTGTGCCAAGAGGAAGAGAGAGGAGCTGAGCAATGTCCTTGCAGCCATGAGGAAGGCAGCAGCCAAGAAGGATTGAGCCCTATCCCTTCTGTGTAATAAAACCTGTTCAGAAATTTAAAAAAAAAAAATTAAAAACCGAAAATATTTACTAAATACACGTAAATTTCTGTGTGATGTAATTTTTAACTTAGTATATTCCACATTCCAAAATGTGAAGATATTAATCTCTAATTGCTAAAAAATGAAATTTTGTTCTTTTAAGCTAACTCAGAAGGTTTTATTTAAATCTTTTGCCCTGACTGGTGTGGCTCAGTGAGTTGGGTGTTGTCCTGCAGACCAAAAGGTCACTGATTCGATTCCTGGTCAGGGCACATGCTTGGGTTGCAGGCCAGGTCCCCAATTCAGGGAATGCAAGCGGCGACCGATCAGTGTTTTTCTCTCTCTCTTTATCCCATCCTCCCCCTCTCTAAAAATAAATAAATAAATCTTTGAAATATATGCCATAGCTGTGACCAGTGTGGCACAATTGGTTGGCCATTACTCTGCAAAGCAAAGGGGTGCTGGTTCTATTCCCAATCAGGGCATGTGTGAGAGGCAACCAATCAATACTTCTCTGCCTCTCTTCCTCCCTTCCCCTCTCTCTAAAAATAAATAAATAAAATATTTTTTAAAATAATAAAATACATGCTGTATTGTACATTTTGCCAATTGCAGAGAACTTAGCTTGTTATTCAGATCAAAATGAATTAAGGGTATTCATGAGTTAGAAGGTCTTTAAGCAGAAGAGACCCATTCACTTTATTCTCAGCGTGTTCTGACCTATTTTTCCAGGTTTATAGTGTGAAGAGTTATCAGGCTTTAAGCAAAAATTTATTTCAAATAATAATGCTCCAAAATAAGTATTTTACTTCTATAAGAGAAAAATTCTAGTCAGTGTTTTTCTGACATTTACGTATAAACGAGTTGTATAATTTTCTAAATTAGAATTAAATATATACACTTAACATTTTACAGTTGCTGTTTTTTAGGTGTTAGAATATTTTTTATCCTTTTTTCTTCATAACTAAAATTCTTTAAGAGATAGTCCTCCCTAGTCCTGGCCACTGTGGCTCAGTTGGTCAGAGCATCATTCCGTAAATCAAAGGTCAGAGGTTCAAGTCCCCTGTTGCGGCACATACTAGAGGCAACCAATCAATGTTTCTCTTTCACATCAGTATTTTTATCCTCGTTCTCCCTCCCTTCCCCTGTAAAAATTTTTTTAGTTGTATTAGAAATATTTTATCATCCCTTGATATATATAATTGAACTAGTATGGTACTTATACATTATCAAGTAAAAAATTACTTTCTCCCCTTATGTTTTATATGTACAGTATTATCTGTAAATTGCTCTACTTTATGTTGTAATAAAGTTGTGTCTATTTCTTTTTAGGATATTTTCTTTTCTGGATGTTGTTACCTTGTGTCGCTGTGCTCAGGTCTCCAGGGTAAGAATGGTTGACATGGTTAGCGGGGCACTCCTTCCTTACACTGATGATGCCAGCTTCTGTCTGTAGTACGGGAACTATTTACTTGAGATGTTAATTGTATGTTAAGTTTCAAAGGATGTTGTTTTACCTATGGCATACCCAAACCCATGTAATTCTACAATTCTACTACATGTACCATTTGTAATTTTTTGGAACTCTTTAACTATTTGTATAATACAAACAGAAGAAACATATTTGAGGAAAAATCATTAATAAGAGATTAGGCTCTACTTAGAATTGTGATAAAATAGTGTTTCATTATGTTTTCCTGGTTCATTTTATACAAACACATAAATATATGGAAGGCTCTTGAGGGTCTAATTCTCCCCATACTTTTTTCCTAAAAAGATAATAGGTAAATTTTTTTTTTTTTTTTTTTTCTTCTTTTTTTTTCTTTTTTTTTCATTTTTTTTCTTTTTTTTTTTCAAATACATTTGTCTCTGCCTCCCCCCCCCACGATAATAGGTAAATTTTTTTTTTAATTGTAGAGCCAACTAGATTCCATTCTCAAAGTCAGTTTCTACATTACACTTAATTAGCCATTTTTGTTAGTTAACATTGCTGTGACAAAACAGTTTAAGATCATAATCTTATTGGCTGCCGCTAATATAAAGAATAGAATCTGTTGTGAAAAAATTGCTTTATGAACCATTCTTAGTCTCTATTGTAATATGAATATATAATAATAAAATGAATATGTACCTACAGTTGTCTTTTTATAAATTGGACAATAGCACAGTCCTAGGTGTTGGACATATAATGTGGTTATATCACAGAGTACTATGTTTATCTTTGTATGTGGACCCAGGTTTTCCTTCAAATTACCAACACCAACTCTCCTTAAAAAAAACAAACAAAACACAAAACTTGCCATAGAAAACTCACTTTGTCTTGCTAACTTTAATGTAATTTTGCATCCTAAAAGCCTTGCTAAATCTGTGCATCAGCTATTTTGGAAACAATCAGTGTTTTGATGATTTATGACATTTCTGTCCCTGGTACTTAGGTGGTTGCCCTAGATACAAATGAGTGGGATTTCCTTTCTCTCTCCATATGAAGCTGAGGCCATCATTGGGAAACAGTATTCTCAGAGCAGTGTTTAAACCTGTTTAATTGCAGCATCTTGTCTTAGCAACGTTGACTTGAGTGAATTTTAATTGTTTTCAATTGCAGGTTTCTTTTCCCTCATTATATGTTTTAATTTTTAAAAAAAGGAAGGCACAATGCCAATTTTCAATTTTCATTAAATCTGGATAGTACATCAGTAGTTACCTTACTGTTCTCTGTACTTGAAGTATTTAATTAATTTGTTTAAAAAAAAAAACAGACTCTGGAAAGGAACCTGTCAGTCCTAATTTTAGGCTCAATTTGGCATGTTTCTTTTTTGCTGGAGAAAGTAGTATAAAGGAAATGAGAAATATCACACCAAATCAGAGGTATATTTAACCCAAGAATCTAGTAAACATATCAACTTTAAAAGTTTTATCACCTGTCTCCCATTCTAACCATTTAAGAAACCATTGGAAAAATAGGAAGCTACCAAAGGAAAAGTAACATTGAACTCCTGAGAAAACCTTAAAGATTTCTACAATAATAACTTTGTTAACTTTCATATCCCTGACATACTTCTTGCTGATTGTATACACCTATCCTGGGGTCAGTAAGTGTATACACAATTTCCTTTTTAAAATTTCAGTATCAGATCTCTTTTGATTGTTATAGTAAGAGATGATATTCTAAGTTAACAGCTCAACAATATTAAAACTTTTGTTTACACTTTAAATTCAATAGGGAAAACTTTTAAAGGCTCTCTGATTAAAATACAAAATGATTCACAACAAATTAACTCTTACTGAGTTAATTTCCTTTTCCTTTTTCACATAATTCTGAAAAGTTGAAAAGCCTCCTTTAGCTTACCTAAGAAACATATGAGGAGTCTTAAACTTTCACTGTTTTAAAATTACCAGTTGAGTCTAGTTAGGGGGACAGACGACCGATTGAAAAACATGCTGAGTCTTTTTAATTAAAAAAAAAAGGAAAGCCCAATGCCAATTTTCATTAAATCTGAGGAAAGCATTATAAAGAGAAATGATAGTGTCTTTTATTAAGTCCCAGGTCCCCATATCATAGTTTCAAGCATGATCAAATATATATTGATTATAGCAATATGCAAAGTACTGTCCTCTTTCTTTGGTTTCACCCTCATCTTGATCCTTGTTGAGGGATAGAGTAACAGATGTGCTTTTCATCAGCTGAACTATCTCGTTTTTGGATTAGACACTAGAATCTTCCAGTTAGAAAACAGTTTCTGGCTGTGATACTTAATATAGTCTGTCCTTTCTCCAACCCCCTTAGATCTTTTGTACCTGCTAGTTTCTGTGTCCACTCATTTATGACATATCTTAATTGGAGAATAAAGTGTGAATAAGAAGGCTAACTTATTGGGAGTTAATGGTGGGGGGCTGAGAAAAGTTTTGGTCAATTTTAGTCGTTAGTAGACTGAATTGTGAACTCGAATATTGCTTGCTTTTCCCTTTTGTTTTGCCTCCTGCTCATTCTGTCTCTTTCTTCAAAATAGGCTTGGAATGTTCTGGCTCTGGATGGCAGTAACTGGCAGCGAATTGACCTGTTTGATTTCCAGAGGGATATTGAGGTATAATTATGTTGTGTGTGGCCCCATTTCTCTTGTTAGAATGTAATTACAGCATGGAACAGATTAGTCCCAGCCATATAAATCTCTGTTCCCTGAGGAGACAGACTATTAATTTTAGTGCCTGTGAACTTCATGGAAGCCTGCAATGTGCACAAGAACTTAGTTTTTGAAAATAAGCAGAATTATTTTACTGAAATAATACTTAATTATTTGTGTTAATGAGACCAAAAAAATTTTTGTGGTGGAAATTTGAACCTGTATTTGCTCATTTTAAGGAAGGCTTTTATATTTGTTTATTGAAGAATCAGTCGAGTTAACTTGTTGGGGTATGATACTTGCATAAATTTTTTTTATTGGAAAACCTATGGATAGTTTGTGTGGAGAATTAAAAAAGAATAAAGTCAAAGTCAGTTTTTGAATTATTTTTGCTTCTCACTTCACATCCATACTTTATCTCTTAGTATTGCCTATTTTTTCTAAAATGAAGAAGTGTGATGGCTTAAGCTTAAATTATTTTATCCTCAATTTGATCTCTGTGGTCCTTGGTTTTCTCATCAGAAGAATGGAAATAATAGAGTCTTCATTGTGTTAAAAGGATTAAATGAGATTTAAATTTAGATTTATAGTTTTTTAAAGTTCCAGTGGAACTTAATTGTCTTGAGGATTCCTGTAAGAAGTTTTTTTAAGGCCTCACATGAACTTCTCATTATCTTTAAAGGTGCTTTTAAAATAATACCCACTGACATTAAGCTGGATTTTTATGTTTTTCACAATTTACTAATCTTTATGGAAGAGAATGTTTAAAGCAGCATGGCCCATACATTTATTCAGCAAGCTTTTTGTTAAGTGTTCATTGAGTCTCTGCTGTAATTAGAGTACTATAGTGAACACTTTGGAAAGGATACAGAACTAATGAAGAGAGTTAGTATCCTTCAGTAACTGCAGTTTAATCAGGAGGGGCGGTCTACCTTAATATAGACATAAGACCATACATAGACATGTATCTTAATATAGGCATAAGGGGACTACAGAACACCATTTTCTCAAATACAGAATATCTTACAAATTGAGTAAAATAAATAACAATGTTGAGTTTAGGCATGTTTCAAGTAGGTGCATTAATCAGGAAAGCTTCCTTTACAGTAAGTTGAAATTTTCCTATTGAATTAATAACTAAGCTTTTTTAATAACTAAGATTTTTTGTTTTAGATTTATTTATTTATTTTTAGAGAGAGGGGAAGGGAGGGAGAAAGAGAGGAAAAGAAGCATCAATGTGTGGTTGCGTCTTGCATGCCCCCCACTGAGGGGGACCTGGCCTGCAACCCAGGCATGTGCCCTGACTGGGAATTGAACTGGCAACCCTTTAGTTCGCAGGCCAGCACTCAGTCCACTGAGCCACACCAGTCAGGGCTGAATTAATAACTAAGCTTTTAAAATGGTTTATAAATTATTAAAAATGAGGATGTATTCTTTTCAAAGTCAGTGTGATGGCTTATCTTTTTGTTTAACTGTCTTTTTTTACAGGGCCGGGTAGTGGAGAATATTTCAAAAAGATGTGGGGGCTTTTTACGAAAGTTAAGTCTTCGTGGGTGTCTTGGAGTAGGAGACAATGCTTTAAGGTAAGAACATAACTATTGATTAACTGATCTTCTTGACTGAAGTAAAGAAAGCACCATCTCACCCAGAAAAGGTTAAAATGGTTTTAAGCTATTTATAAAGTTATAACTTTCTATAACCTATTCTGAACCCAAACACACATGCATTGCTTATAACACAAAAATATCTAATAGTGGGCCATGTGGTTTTAAGAATAAAACAAGAGCCCTGGCTGGTGAGGCTTAGTGGATTGAACACCAGCCTGCAAACGAAAAGGTCACCAGTTCAATTCCCAGTCAGGCCACATGCCTGGGTTGCAGGCCGAGAGGCAACACATTGATGTTTATCTCACACATTGATGTTCCTCTACCTCTCTTTCTTTCTCTCTTCCACTCTCTCCAAAAATAAATAAATAAAATCTTTTTTAAAAAAAGAGTAAAACAAGTACCCACTCCAAAAAGGCCGAATTCCCCATATTATAAATAGTTCTTTTGAAGCCTTGAGTAAATTTTGTTAATGCAATCTTAAAATTTTATGGTTAAAAATTAATTTATTTGTAATCGTGAACTACTTTTGTACTAATATCCAGTGTTACTACTACTGATATATATATATATATCTTTCATTAATTTTTTAATACCAGAATTGTGCCATTTCATCTCACACCTTTTACTTTTTGTTTCTTTCCTGTAAAGGACCTTTGCACAAAACTGTAGGAACATTGAAGTACTAAATTTAAATGGGTGTACAAAGACTACAGATGCGTAAGTATTTTGTGTTTAAGAAGGGTAAGTCATAGCCCCTTGTGTTTTACCTATACGGGCTTTAAATGCATGCTCCTAAATACATTTAGCAAATTCCATTTTGGCTTTATAGAAGAAAGATATTTTAAAAGGAGAAAGTGACGTTAAAGTAGAAATGAAATAAATTTAATTTGGAATCTGGCACAAATCCTATTTTGATATTTTAAGTGAAACTTAAAAATTGTAGTCAGTATATATGCAGTAGGGATAATAATGATATAAATTACTAGGATGATTTACATTTCAAGAAGATACTAGTAGCTGTCATTCAAAAGACACAAATAATTTTATGAAAAGATGTAAATCTTAAAAAACAAGACTAAACAGCTTATTATGATCAATACTGATAGCATTTATTAAATGACTTTAAATGTGCTGTGTTTGTGTTGGTCACAATATAAGAGAAATAAAACTTGATCCTTCATCCTTGAGAGTTTATCATCACAGATGCAATAGACATCAAAGTTAGACATAAAAAAGCCCAAGGATATCTATTGGTGGTAACATATCAAATAATGTTTAAATATTATGTAAGGAAATTACTGCCTATTGTGAGGTGAGGTGAAATGATTGAAGAAGCATGGTTTCAAGGAAGGGCAAGGATTATTCACTGAATCTTCCTGTTCAAAAAGTCCTCATAAAAGAGATGGTATTTTTTTAGAGTTGCCTGAGTGAAGGAAAGAGGAAGATACTCCAAACACAGAGTATATACATTGTTTATTTTATTCCCTTCTTTGAGATCACAACATTGTTAACTTTTAATATAAGAAAGTGTTTGAAAGACAAAGGGTTTTTAATTGATTCTACTAGCAAGTATTATTCCTATGGAGTGATTTGGAAATCTTTAATATGATAGATAATTTACTAACCTCTACCCCAACTTTGACTTCATACCAGTAGCCCAACATTTACTTTAGATAAATTACCTGTTTCTGTTTTTCCTTGGAATACCTAATGTTATAAAGATTAAGAATTTGACCACTTGGTATCTAAAATGTGACATATAATTTACACATTTTTCTAGAAATTTATATAACAAAGAAACACTGGCAAAATATAAAAAGCTTTAGGTACAAGGCTATATTCATTTTTACTGTTTGTAATAACAAAAACTACATTATTCTTAATAACAAAAATCAGAAAACAATCCAAATGTCTATCAGTAGAGGACTGCTTAAGAAAAGGAACGTGGCCCTGGCTCGTGTGGCTCAGTGGGATGAGCACCAGCTGGCAAACAGAAAGATCGCTGGTTCGATTCCCAGTCAGGGCACCTGCCTGGGTTGCAGGCCAAGTCCCCAGTTCAGGCATGCAAAAGGCAACTGATTAGGGTTTCTCTGCCTTTCTCCCTCTCTTCCCCTCTTTCTAATACATACATACATACATACATACATAATACATACATAAAACCTTTTTTTAAAAGAAGGAAAGCAATGCAGAAAATCTTTGTATAGTACTCTGGAGTGATGTCCAGGACATTTTGTCAAGAAAGGAAACTGCAGAGGAACTTGTATAAGAAGATACCTTTTGTAGAGCCAGGGGATATAATACAAATATATGTCCATAGTTATTAATATTTTCTGGAAGAAACAGTGGAAAGGTAATCAAAAACTAATAAAAATGGTTATTTATGGGAGAGATAAGGAAACAAGAAGAGTAAGTGATAAAAGGAAGACCTCTGAAGTATCATGTTTTAATAGTTTTAATACCCATGTGAATGTGTTTCATAATTAAAACATGACTTAAGCTAAAAAAATCAATTGAAAACAAAACACGTGAGCCCAGCCATATGAAGTTGGAGCTATAACCATCAGAAAGAAGTTACTTCTACTGACTTTTGACTTCTTAAAACAAATCTTAAACATATGCCAAAGTAGACAAAATTGAGTCTGTCAGCCACTTTCAAATTGATAATTGAGAAATTATCACTTTATGGCTAATTTTGTGTCATCTTACCTTCCTCACTTTATTTTGATAAACATTCTAGATATCATATAGGCATTTCTAAAAGTTAAAGACTTTTAACAAAAGCACATTAACTGTCACTCCTATGGGGGAAAAAAAATCTTAAAATCATCAGATAACTCCTGGTCAGTGTTCAGATTTTTGCTTGTTCTAGTAATATTAGAAACAATAGTTTAAACATAATATAAAAGAAAAAGATACAAACTCTAAGAATCAAAGATGGAGACTTTTACTTCTGACCATGACAGTAGTAACTGTCCTCCTGCTGTAAAAAACAATAAAACTACAAAACAGAAAACAATCAGTTTGAGATGCAGGACAACAAACAGCACAGGATTGAGAAACATGACATGAGCCCTGTGAGTACCCTAGCTTTCTGCTTGGTGACATTTTCCAGATAATGGCACAAGGAGAAGGAACCTAAGCAGAGCACAAAATCCTGGCTGATTTTAGGAGAAAGAGATTAGAATTCAGGGAGACCAAACTGGCTGGAATTTGTGTTTCAAAAGGGAGGAACTACTCAATAAATGGCTACAGTAATTACATAGATTTGACTGAATAGTAAACTACATATGCACATATTGAGACCCCACAAAGCTAGGAAAAGAACATCTAATAAGGAAAGAACAATAATACTAGGGAAACTTTAAACTGAAGTGTTGCCAGAATATTATTTCCTTTAATATTTGTTGATCTCCCTGAATTGTGATCAAATATTTAAAGAAGAAATATTATAAGTCTTCAAGTTCATTCATTAAGAGAGAGAAGGCGGGGGGGGGGAAACACCTCATAAGTCATTCTGTGAAGCCAGTGTTTTTCTGATACCAAAGCTGGCAAACAAAGACATCACAATAAAAAGAACTCTGCTGATACATATCCCTCAGGAAAAGGAACACAAAAATACTTTATTGTTTTTTTCTTTTGTATTCATTTTCCTTATGTGTATTGATTTTTAGAGAGGAAAGGAGAGGGAGGGAAACATCGATGTGAATGAGAAACACTGATTGGTTGCCTCCCATATGCATCCCGGCTGGGGATAGAACACGCAACCTAGGTATGTGCCCTGACTGGGAATGAAACCCCCAACCTTTTGGTATACAGGATGATGCTCCAACCAACTGAGCCACACTGGCTAAGGCCATACTTTAAAAAATTTTAGCAAACTGAATCCAGCATCATATAAAAGGGTTTTGGATCATATCCAAGTGAGATTTATCCCATAAATACAACTGTGGTTTAACATCTGAAAACCAATTAATATAATATTTCAATTAGTAGAATAAAGTATGGGTGAGCAAACTTTCTGTATGGAGTCAGATTAGAAAATATTTTAGGCTTTGTTGGCTGAACAGTCTTTGTCACACCACTCAACTTGCCAGTGTTTTACAAAAGCAGCCATAGACAACGCATAAACAAATAAGCATGGCTGAGCTCCAGTAAAACTATTTCTGGGTGCTGAGATTTGAATGTGATAGAATTTTCACGTTATAAAACATTACCTTCTTTTGATTTTCTTTCAACCATTTAAAAATATTAGAACCATTCTTGACTTGTGGACTGTGTAACAGTAGGCAGCTGGTGAAATTTACTGCCCTCTGGAATAAAGAACAAAAACGACATGATCATCTCAATGTGATAGATGGCCTATAAAATGGCCCCCAAGTAATTCCTACCTCCTACTAGTATTCACACCCTTGTGTAATCCTTTCCCCTTGAGCATGCTCTGGACCTCAGGACTCATTTCTAACAATAGAATACTGCAGAAGAGATTGGATGTCACTTTGGAGATTAGGTTACAAAAAGACTGCAACTTCTGTCTTGCTCTACTCTTTCTCAGGGCTCTGACTTGATGAGGAGTAGGGCAAGTTGCCCTGTTTTGAGTAGTGCTATGAAGAGGCCCAAGTGGCAAGGAATTGAGGTCTCTGGCCAACAGCCAGTGAGGACCTGAGCCTACCAAAAACCAAATGAGTGAACTTGGAATTGGATCTTCTGAGGTCTGCCAAAAGCTACTTAAATGAGCTTGGAAGGGAATCTGTACCCAGTTAGCCTTTGAGATAATTACAACTGTGGCCAATACCTTGATTACAGCCTTGTGAGAGACCTGAGTCAGAGACACCCTACTAAGCTGTTTGTGCCAGTATTACTGACCCACAAAACTGTGAGATAATAAATGTTTGTTGTTTTAAGCTACTCACTTTGGGGTAATTTGTTTTGCAACAATAGGTAACTAATACATCATTAGGTAGAAAAAGCACATGAAAAAATCCAATACCCATTCATGATTAAAAATTCTCAACAAACTAGGAATAGAAAAGATTTCCTCAATCTGGTCAAAGGTGTCTACGAAAAACTTACTGCTAACCATCACACTTAATGGCGAAAGACTGAGTGCTTCACCCTAAGGTCAAAAACAAGGCAAGGATGTTAACTTGCCATTTCTATTTAATATTCTATTGGAGATTCTAGCCAGTGCTGTACATTTATTACAGAATTGTGAAATAAAACCCCAATAGAAGATGACACTCCATACCCACTAAAATAGCTATAATCAAAAAAAAAAAGAGAGAGAGAGAGAGAGACCAGCGTGACGTGTTGGCAAGGATGTAGAGAAACTGGGACCTTTGTAGGTTGCTGGTGAGAATCTAAAAGGGTACAGCTGCTTTGAAAAGCAGTTTGGCAGTTTCTTAAAAAGTCAAACATAAATTACTATAGAACCTAGTAATTCTCCTATGCATCCAGCCAGAAGACATGGAAGCACAGGTCAACACAAAAACCTAAGGAACAGATCAACCAAGTAGAATGTATGGTTCTTATTTCGATTGTAATTTGATCAAATCAACTTGACAAAGGTATTTATGAGAGAATTTGGGAAACTTGAATGTAGTCTGGATATCAGTTATTAAGGAATTAAAATCCTTATCTATTAGAAATATGTCCTGAAATATTTGCAGGTGATATATGTCTGGGATTTGCTTTAAAATACCTAGAATGAAAAAGGGGGGAAGTGAATGAAATAGAAATAGTAGAATATTGATAAGTGTAGAAGCTTAATGATGGTACATGTTGTTTTCTCTACTACTCTTGTGTATATTTGAAATTTTCATGATTAGTTAAAAAAAATTAAACTGAGAACTTCATCACTGTAGAAAAAAGCCTTTTAAGAAATTCACAAAGGAAAATAGGAAGTAATGTTACATAGCTTAGGTTGTTTCAGCCCCATATTGGTCCATCCTCTACATATATTGCAAAAATCCAGTTATATTACTGCCATGCAAAATGTTATCTTGAGCAGAGATTTCAGTCTTCATGTCTCTCTGACTGTTCAGTAATAGCTTTCTGGTGCTCCTGGATTTGCAAAATGCATGTAGATCTATTATCAGCACACATGCAGTTTGCTGTTAATAGCTATTACCATTTCCAAATATGAATTTACTATTTTCCCCTCATGGAAATTCTTGTACCCATCACAGCCTTTTTTATCTTTTGTAAATGGCACTGGTCTCTTTCTTAATTTAAAAGGTCCCCTTTTATTAGGGGCATAGAAATTTTACAGTTCTTATGTATATACATGAGTTGAATGAGAATCGTGTATGATATACTAAGGATGTATTATTTATTTATTATATTTTCTCCTTTTTCCATTTTTCAGTACATGTACTAGCCTTAGCAAGTTCTGTTCCAAACTCAGGCACCTTGACTTGGCTTCCTGTACATCAATAACAAACATGTCTCTAAAAGCTCTGAGGTAAATTTCTTATAAGATTGTCCAATACTTGTTTTTTTGAAATAACTGACATAAAGTTGGAATTGAAGGAAACAATGTTTTATGGATATGTACTATAGTTCAGAATAGATCTTTTGTTTTTCTACTAGGCCAAATTATAGACAGGTAAAATGGCTAAAGGTAACTAGGATTTCTGAACAGAGTAGTACAATTTACATATGGATGATTAGATTTTTGTGAAGGCTTCCTCCCTCTCCCCCACAAAATGACACATATTATAGCTTAGTGATTAAAATAGTGCTCTGGAGTCAGGTTATTGACCCGGTACCTTGAATAAATGTGACCCTTGTGAGGTTTTCCATATCATCTCATAGATTTGTTATTAGGATTAAACAATACCATTATTTGATAATATTAAGCCAGACCATATAAAGTTGCCAGTATTCCAACATCTTTTGTCTTATAAATGAAAATTTTATGTGTTCAATCTAATATATATAAATTACTTAGCATGTAGTAAACAAATTTTCATTGTGTTGAAAATGTATTTTTTTAAAGTACATTACAGAAAATGTATCTTAAAGGGAAGGTGAAACGCCCATTCTCTTTGTAACTTCACTTTTTTTTAAACTTCATTGTTGGCGCTGTTACAGATGTCCCTTGTTTCCCCCACTTTGCCCACCACCAGCCAACGCCCACACCCATTTCCCTCGGGCCATCACCACACTGTTGTCCATGTCTGTGGTTACGCACGTATGTTCTTGGGCTGATCCCTTCACCTTCTGTCACCCAGTCCTCCCCTCCTTCCCCCTTGCCTCTGACAGCTGTCTGTTCCATGTATCCACACCTATAGCTTTACTTTTTATCACCCTTTTATGGTCCTATATATTGGTCACGTTTATAAATAGTAAGAATTAAGCTATTAAAAGAAGGAATATAAATTTAGTTGAGTGTAAGTAATCTAAAAATCTAGATCTTCCTTATGAATATTAAGCAAATACATATCTAAGACTGCTGTGTAGGATAATAGGATAATATAACAACATTTATAGTTTATAACATATTCACATAAATGATCTCGCTTATTTGAACCTTGTGATGTAGATATAGATAGAACAGACACTTTACAGATAGAAAATCTAAAACATTTTTGAATGCCAGGTAATGTCATTCAACCATGGGATATGACTAAATAAGAAGATATTGTCGATGCCCTTAAGTTGCTCAGAGTCTAGTGTGAGGGAAAAAAAAACACTAAACATGTCATATTACAGTGTGATTAAGTGCTATGATAGAAGTGCAGCCGTTTGGGGAGAACATAGAATACCTTGGATTAGGAGAGCTTCTGGCAGGCTTCCTGAAGTGACTTGACTGAAGTCACACTATAAAACAGTTAAATTGATATTTTCCAAAGAAAGTCCTAGAGCTTGGGATTCTTCCATAGTTCAAATCTGAAATCAAAGATCAAAGATGAAGCTAGTGTTTGATAGAAGCCAGAGATCAAATACAAAATACCTTAAATTTAGCCTATGGAAAGAGTACTTTAAATATTTCCGAGATAAGGAAAATTTACAGATTTTTCCTTTTCTCTCTAATTTTTAAAATATAAGTTTAAATGTCTTCATTAGTACTTTGATAAGTGAGTTATCTGATAGAGAATCTGGGTTTGACTCTAAACTCTTCATTAATTAGTTGATTAACTTGAATAAGTCACTTAATTTTTATTTCCTATCTAAGAAACTTATAAATATGTGATAAGTGAAAAAAGGATATAATCTGCAATGTATAAACCTCCATTAAAATCTAATATATCTGAAAAACAGTATTGTGCTTTGTGCTTGTTAGTTAAGCTGGATTTGAGCTAGCCCTCTAGTGATAGAGTTCCACATGAACCACCACAAACATTGATAAACCCACTTTTGTTGTTAAGGGATTTCCTGTGTTCTAAATTTACATTAAGTAAATATGTATATTCTTTGTGAGAGCATGGGGCTCTATCCACTTCCTAACTAAATGGCCAATAAAATGAGACTTTGGTATCTTTGAAATTGGATTTAGTCATATGTTTGTTTCATTTTGTTTTATCCCAAGTGAGGGATGTCCACTTTTGGAGCAATTGAACATTTCCTGGTGTGACCAAGTAACCAAGGATGGCATCCAAGCACTAGTGAGAGGCTGTGGGGGTCTCAAGGCCTTATTCTTAAAAGGCTGCACACAGGTAATAAATACTCCATGTGGTGCTTATGAATGATAGAGAAACCGTAAACCTTATTAGGCAGCCCCAAGATGTTGACTTAAAGAATATGTAGTTGTTTTGTGTTATTGACCAGACACATGTTTACCAAAAATTAGTATTTTCCTTAGAGTAAAAAAGGGAGAGAGGGGAGAGGAGAAGAATTAACATCTGGCAAAAGATAAATTTTTGTTTTGAGCGAAGGCAGGCTAGGGAGACAAAAATCATTATGAGTAAGCACCATAGGCAGGAAGCATTTCACACAATTTAATCTGAAAAGAAAACTTGACATGTTGTTACTGCCTGAGATCTTGAACTGGATAGGCAAGGAAGGCAGCCTGGCAATTTTAACTTGTTCTTAAATCACCCAGAATCTTTCTTAAATGTGTCAAGTATATAGCAACCTACATTTTATAGTGTTGATGCTTTTTTCCTGCCAGTCACATTACAAATCCAACTTACTTTGTCATTAAAAATATTACTAGAAGGAATTTTTATGGAAATTAATGGGCTTAGAAGTGACAAAGTAGGTCTAGGCTTTTAATACCTTATTTTTTTTAATGGTTATTAAAACCATGCCTTGGATCCCATTAAAAATGTCCTCGTTCTTTCACCGTGATGGGAGATGTTCCATTGTTTGAAACAGAACTTTGGAAGTATGACTATCATAAAACAACAGCTTGAGCTTCTAGTTATTAATGGAAGCCTGAAAAATATTGATTGGAATGCATCATTATAATCAATTACTTGCCATCTGTTCTCAGCACTGTACTCATGGCACTGATCTTCCAGCAGCAGATAAACTATGGATTCCTTTTTCAGCTCCTGCTTCCCACAATATATGGAGTGTGGAAATGTGAAAATTCTTTTAGCTTCATAAATGCTCAGCAAAATGCTGTAAAGTATATTTATCAGAAGAAAAATCCACAGTACTGATCATACAAATTACACCTTTATGTGATCCTGTTTCATTGTTCCTTTAAAACTTAGTCGGCTATATTTAGAGTGTATTGATGCGTGTATACACTAAAATCTCTGTCCTTTGAAACAATGTCAGTAACCATTTTTTGTTTCTCTTTTTAACCTTTTAGCTAGAAGATGAAGCTCTGAAGTACATAGGTGCACACTGTCCTGAACTGGTGACATTGAACTTGCAGACCTGCTTAGTAAGCAGTCCCCACTATAGCTTTTCTGTATTACTAATGGATTTTGGTATTATTACTGTAAGAGTTTCAGTCATCAGGACCAGTGATTTTTCTTCAACCCTGGGGACACAGCAGACACAGCTGACTCTCTACTTGCTTGATGATACTTCCAGGGGTTTTGACACAGATAAGTGGGTAGCTTATTCAGAATTCCAAATAGGCTAACTATAACTTCACCCTTTTCTTTTCCACTTAAGAATACTCTTCAGAATTAAATTATTTACATGCTTCAGTAGATAACTTATTTTGGGGTAAGTTATTTTGCAATAACATTATTATTGCAACCCACCGATTAAGATCCATCTATCAGTGGGTTGTAACTATTGGAAACGACTAATCTAAACAGTGACAAGCAAAATGTACCCTTTAAATTATATTCAAGTAGTATTTGTAGTTCACATGTGGTTTCTTTTAGACTATCAACTTTTTTGAGTATGTCCCAAAACTGCTCGATTTTACGTAGAGAATTTGCTGAAAATATTCAGGGTCCTAGAATGTTGACAGTACATCTTTGCTTTTTTGTATTGCCTTGAAAAGTACATGTGTGTTGCTTTGGAGTGAGAGCCTCTCTTAGTAGTGAAAAAAACTGGTGAGGGTTTTCCTTGTTTTCACTAAGCCTTTTGCTTATTATACTCTCCTCTTCTTGTTTAATCACCTACAGCTTAAGAGTATAGTGTCTGTTTAATATAAAAGTGATGATTTTAGCCCTGGCTGGTATGGTTCAGTGGATTGGGTGCTGGCCTGTAAACCAAAAGGTCACTGGTTTGATTCCCAGCCAGGACACATGCCCGGGTTACAGGCCGGGTCCCCAGTTGGGGGCATGCAAGACGTAACTGGTTGATATATCTGTCACACATGGAAGTTTATCTCACTCCATTCCTGTTTCTCTCTAAATAAATAAATAAATAAATAAATAAATAAATAAATAAATAAAATCTTTTTTTTAAAGTGATAACTTTAAAGATGCTACATTTTGTGCAATTTAAGCAACTTGCCCTTCCAGGCCTTACAGGGTTGTGCTTGCTGATAATGATCTGCTTAAGAGGCTTTTGGAGGCTGAATTAAAAGAATGACATTCTTTTTTAATTCTGATCACCCCTTCCTTTTAATTCTGATTGCCACAGCTGCTAACTACAAGAATTTGCCTAATTTCATTTATGAAACTGAAATATTTGGCCTGAGAGAAGGAGCTTATACAACTATTGGAAGCATAAAACCATCATCTTAAAGTGACAGGAAAAGAACTGTTCTTGCGCATCTTCAGATTTTATTTATATACATTTACACCCACATTCTTTATATGTGTGTATACAAGTATGTTGCATATACATTTGCACATATGCATAGATATTACATATATACCACACCTCTCATTTGCTCTTAGTTTCATTTCCTTTACCCTTCCAATAGACAGAAATCACAGTTCATAAGCATAAAGAACCACTTCTATCGTGTTTAATTTACTGGTTTCCTTTACCCAGATATGAGGATACAAGTCACTCTGTCATTTCTTTCTTACAGTGTGATGAAATGTGATTCTCAGCATTCATAGGACTTCATGTTCTTGTACAAAATGAAGTGACCAAAGTACATTCTTGACCCATTCTCTTTTTCTTGACTAATTTGAAAATACAGAAGTTTAGTAAATTTTATTCTTTTTAAAATTTAAAGTAATGGTAATATGACTGACTTTTCTCCTCTCTTCTTCCTCAGTAATTCCTTATAGACTTATATATAAAACATTGAAAAGGATTTATGAGCCAATGTCACCCCAATAAATTCAATAAAAATTTTTTAAAACATTAAATAGGAAAAGACAATACAGCCCTATAATACTTTCCTAATATTATGTGACACAGATTCCATTGGCCTGGTAAATATTCATGTTTGATTGTTATTTCCCCCTTTACATTTCATTTATCCTTGTTTAGCAATAATGATAACAACACATTTGTGTGGCACTTTTTTTAGGTTCTTGCACATGTGTATATATCCAATTAATTTATCCTTATGACAAATCTCATATCTGCCTTAACATTATTTTTTATCTGTATTTTGTTTCAGTTGTACAATATTGAGAAAATATTGGTTTAAGAAGTTAATATTTAAAGCTTGATTTTATTTTTTTCAGTGGTTCTTGCAGTTTAAGGACACTGATTAAACAGGTAACAGGAGAGCTTTTCTGAGGCTTAGTCAAAATTAGTGACTCTAGCAGGACAAATTGAAGTTCTAGTTATATCTGATCATACCCAACATGTTGAGACATTTATTAATACATGACTTTTTTTTTTTTAATCCTTACCCAAGGACATGCTTATTGATTTTGGGGGGCAGGGAGAGAAACACATCAATGTGAATGGGAAACACTGATCAGTTACCTCTCATTCGCGCCCTGACCAGGGATGAAACCTGCAACCTAGGTGTGTGCCCTCACCGGGAATTGAACCCTCAGCCTTTTGGTGTATGAGACAATGCTCCAATCAACTGAGCCACCTGGCCAGAGCCTACATGACTTTTTTTTTAATGTAACGTCTTTGCTCTTTTTCATTTTAAAATAACTTAAAACATACAAATTTATATTGAGTTGGACACAACTCTTTATCTCCATAAATATAGAAATAAATGGATCTGTGGTTGATACGAGATTGCAACTGTCATCCACAGGTTTTTTTATGTTTTTAATAACTTAGTATCAGTTTTGCATTTGTTCATATGTTTATACTATTAAAATACTGCCATTCTTATTTATTTTATAGGGTTTTAAAACCATTTAATTGACTCTACATTGTAATGCACCCCATGCTGTTCTCAATAAAAGAATCCTATTATAGTTTCATCCCTTTATCCCCAAAATGAGCAAGATTCTCTTGCAAACTAAATGAAAGGAAACTGGAAGGAATAAACAAAATGTGTTCATTTTCTTTTAGGTCTGTTACCTGGTTAATATTAAATCTGCTTTTATTTCTTTCTGGTACTTATTTTCACTGAGATAACATTTTTTTCCTTTTTTCTGTTCTGCTACATTACTAATATCTGTGGTGGGGGGGTTTGCTCTTGTTTTTTAGCAAATCACAGATGAAGGTCTTATTACTATATGCAGAGGGTGCCATAAGTTACAGTCCCTCTGTGCCTCCGGCTGCTCCAACATCACAGATGCCATCCTGAATGCTCTAGGTCAGAACTGCCCACGGCTTAGGTAAACATTTCTTGTTTAGCTTAAAAAATTGGGAAAAGAACAGAGGCCTCTCTTGCTTACGTTTATTCCTTGGAACCTTGAAATCTTTAAGGTAGACACTTACAAGGCCACTAACCTTTTAGAAGCCCTCCTTCTTGCTTTATACTTTATTGACTACATGTAATTGGCCTGCACCAAGGGATAGTAGCCCCTGTTTTCTACTTCCTGCTATCCATACTAGAAAAAAATCATTTTATTACTTGAGAAAAAGAATAAAGGCATTTTTTCTTATTAATGCTTTTATACAGACAGTCCCCAACTTAAAATGGTTCAACTTATAATCCTTTGACTTTATGGTGGTGCAAAAGCAATATGCATAATAAATTACAAATATATTCAACATTTTGTTATAAAATAAGTTTGTGTTACATGATTTTGCCCAACTGTAGGCTAATGTAAGTGTTCTGAGCACATTTAAGGCAGACTAGACTAAACAGGTGTTTGGTAGGTTGAGGGTATTAAATGCGTTTTTGACTTAACATTATTTTCAACTCATAAGAGGTTTATCTGGACATAGCCCCATCACAAGTCAAGGAGTATCTGTAATTCCTTTCTGAAGAAAGATTTTAAAGGCCAATTCTGTGGTCACTTTATCTTGTAATAATGATGCCAGGTACATAGCAGAGAGTATTTAAAAAGAAAAAAGAGCCCCACAGGAGAACCTTCTTTATACTGATTAATGGTATTTTAGAGCAAGCCTTTTTTCTTTATGGCTCCACCTCTCTGCCTAAATATAGGATTGGCTAAATATTTATTAAGAATGCTGTATTGGGGGAAATATCAGGACAACTGCAATAGCCTAATCAATAAAACATAATTTTTTAAAAAAGAGTGCTGTGTTAGCATGTACATGATATCAAACCCATACTGATTCTGTAAGAGCACACAAACACACTACTTGATCTCCATATACCATTTTCTGTTTGTTAAAATAAAACTTGTACTTTTATGTTAGCCATGTTAGCCATTGTTTTAAATGATCCACAATACTTATTTAATAATTAAACACCATATAAACACTTATTATCTCCATATTACAGATGAGAAAACTGAAGCCCAGAGAGGTCAAGTAAACTGTTCAAGGTCTCACAGCTAGGAAGTGCAGGAGCCTGGGATACAAAAACCTAGGTTGTCTTTCTCCAGAACCCATTAAACTACTTATTTTGCATATAACAATCATGTAAACCTTTTAAATACTTTCTTTGTAAGCACCTGGCCAAAGGCCTAGCTATAATTAGTAAGAGAAAATTTGCCTACAGTATCAAAATTCCTTAATAGATCATAGACTTGTTGGTCAAAATTAGTAATATTGGTAGCCTAGAAAAGAGTTTTATTCAGGAGCTAAGGAAATAGCCAAACCCTATCTGAAAATATTACCCATTCCCTTTTGTTTTAAAGAGGGGTGTTCAGCTTCCTCCTCCTTCATGGTTTAACTTTTAGAACAGAAAAACTCAAATGTGGTACTTGGATTCAATAGTTTGTGCATTTCCATTAGATACAGCACTTCATTTCTAATTGATTGACAGTTGATAATAATTTCTTATACCTTAGTGGGGTTTTTTTTAACTTCTATAAGTAATTTGTAAGCAAACATATAAATATTCTATGGTACGATTGTGCAGAGGCCACCAAACTTTTCACAGAAAAGCTGCTTTTCATTCTTGGTCCTGTGGCTGGTATTTAGGTTGGTGTTTAGCAATTCCTGAATAGGAGAGTGGCTGCCAGCTCAGCTTCCCTCTCGTCTGGGCCTCCCTGGGAGCCTATGAGAGGAAGCAGGAAACTTAAGGGTATTTTTTCATAGGTATGGAATTTAATATGTTGGATAGGCCTGTAATTAACCAATTTCTTCATTACATTTTAAAAATCTGTTTAACTCTGAGTAGACCTACATGTAAAATAGGAAAAGAATAATTTGGCAACAGATTAACGGTATCTTCATTTCCATTTTCTAGGAACAGGCTGCCCTCTGGGGGTAAACAGTATGCCATCAAGAAGCCTTTTAAATGCATTTTGGCATTAACTACAAGCTTCTATTATATTCTTCTGATTGCATCACTCTGAAATGTGGTATTTACAAGACCACTTTATGATGACTCCATGAAAATGAATGGCAAGATCTGTATACAGACTTGCTTAGCTATTAATGTCACTATGTAATATAATCCTTAGGAAATAGGAGGTTTTTTCTTAAATTCTTGATGTTTTAATAAATGCAGTTTTCAGGGACCACGGTCTTGATTTTCACTTTGTTTTTTTAACAGGATATTGGAAGTGGCAAGGTGTTCTCAATTAACAGATGTAGGCTTTACCACTCTGGCCAGGGTGAGTATTTTTCTCCAGGTCCTATGTAGGTTTTGTTTGGGATTTTTGTTTCAGAAGAATGAGCAAGGCGGGAGATGTGGAAATAGCAGCAGAATTGAGGATGTGGGATGTGGGGGAACCTATCTGTGGCTGGTGTTCCTGAGCTTTCTTGTGCCACAGCTACAGACTTGTAGAATACACACTGCTCTAGAAATGCAGACCTACACTGGATAACATGATGCTCCTTCCTAAGACTTCATTTTCTACATTTTCTTACTATAAATAAAGCAGAGATTTTCTAGTGCTCTGTGAAAGAAACTTAACCTGGTTATTTGTATGCGACTGGTGGGTGAGAGTAATGTTGAAAGAAACATGTAATCCTAATTTTAAATGGAGATGTTTTAAGGGATTTTCTGTATTCTCCAGAAGATTTTAATACTTACAGTGGTCTATATCACTGTATAAGAGTAGTATTTAAAATTATAGCTGACTTTGACCAATATAATGGAACAAAGGGAAGGACGTTTGCTGTCAGGCAGATTGATATTTTAATAACATTTGGTTTTCTGGCCTTAAATTTTTCCCATATTTTAAATGTTTGTATTGTAATGTTTGCTTTTGTATTTTGTAGAATTGCCATGAGCTTGAAAAGATGGACCTAGAAGAATGTGTTCAGGTAAGACAACATGCGCATAGAAACTTATATAACATGCGCATGACAACATTTATTTTCCTCCCCTGGTGTAGTGCAGTGCCTGGCAGCGCTGCTGACTCTCCATTTACTGAGGTGTCGTCCAGGCACAGCAGGCAGATAACTCGTGGTTATGTGTTCAGGAACTAGGAAAATACATGCCATCAATAAGATTGCCCTTGGGGAGAAAGAAGGCCCAAACATTCAGGCTACAAAGACATTTCCAAAGACCTACAGGGTTTTGATACTAGAATATAATTAAAGCCCCATCACACTGAAGAGCACTGCCCCTTTTTGGCTTAACTGGGTGGTGGACCCCTTACCTCATTAGCCCTGGAGGCCTGACACTGTATGGAACCCTGTCCTTCAGACAGGTAACCAAATATCTCTCTATCAGCAATTTCTTTTCTTACTAATTTTAAGAGCTTTGAGATTAGTTGATTGGGGAGAAACTAAAAAGAAGACAGAGCAATGAATTTTTTTAATGGTAAAAATAAAGAAGATACTTGGGTAACTTTTGAAGCCATTTTTTAAAAATTACTTGTTATACGACACTATTGAGCAGCTATTAGTTCTTACTAAACTAAAACTTGTTTATATTCATTTATCTGTTGCACATGCCTGAGTGTCCTGTGCGTCCTTCCCAGTGTTAGTCCAGGTGATGTGCACACACCTGCCTGTTCCAGCTCCCCGCACTCTTGACATTTCTTATTTCTTAGCTTCTGTGAAGCTATATATTAGAGTAATATAATATCTCAAGAGTTGGAAGCATTTGAAAAGCACTGATTTACTTTTTGTCTTAAGATAACTATAAAAAACTGTTGTTCCTTTAGGAGTTCTTCCTTCCTGAATGTTCATAGGTAACCCAGATTCCAACAGCCTTTTGTGCCACCTTTGGGAAGAAAACTGACACCCAAGATATCAATCCTGAGTTATGGCAAGGCTTATAAAATATCGGCCAACTATCTAAAAATTTGAGAATGTTCACATTAATTTTTTTTCATGGAGCAGTGTCTTCTGCTGGTTTTCTGTGATGGTTCTAAGGAGGTAGAATACAAAGTCCAGTGGGTAAGTTATGAGGGCACAGGTTCATTCATTTTAAAAACAAAACAATTTTCAACAGATCTGTTAAAAAATTAAGACTAGAGAATACTAGGACTTCTGGCCAAGATAGAGGTGTGGGTAGACACTCTTCACCTCCTCACACAACCAAAAGAAGGATCGCAACTAACCTCAAAACAAACAAAAAAACCCAACCAGAACTGCCAGAAAATCGAACTGTGTGGAAGTCCGACAACCAAGGATTTAAAGAAGAAACATTCATCCAGACAGGTGACAGGTTGGAGGGGCGGAGAGGATGCAGTGTGGCTGCGGTGTCAAGGCAGCGGCAGCGAGGAGGTGGTGTCAGTGTCTGGCAGATGGGTGGTCTGACATTGCTGTGTGACAGATAAAAACCAGGAGGGACACCTGGGGAGCAAGCCATCCCAGCCTTAGGCCAGACCACAAAGCCCAGGGTTCCAGCGCTGGGAAAATGAGGGAAAGCCTCATAACTTCTGGCTGTAAAAACCAGTGGGGATTGGGATGCTGAAAGAAACTGCCGGTCTCTCAGAAGAGTCCATTTAAAGGGACTCCACGGTCCTAGAATGTATACAAACCCACCCACGCTGGGAACCACCACCAGGGCAACAGCAAGAGGGGCGCCAGTTGCATACAGGAAGTGGGTAAAGTGACTGTAAACGGGGCAAGTACCAAGCAAGCGGCATTGTTCCCTCTCCAACCCCTCCTCCACATGGAGCACCACAAAGCAGTGAAGCGGGTTCCCCCTGCTCTCGCAAACACCTAAGGATCTGCGCCTTATAAATGTAACAGGTGCACCAAGACAGGGAGTCAAAGCAACTTTACCTAATACACAGAAACAAACACAAGGAGGCTGCCAAATTGAGGAGACAAAGAAATGTGGCCCAAATGGAAGAGCAGATCAAAATTCCAGAAAAAGAACTAGTGAAATGGAGATAGGCAACCTATTAGATGCAGAATTCAAAACACTGGTGGTAAGGATGCTCAGAGAACTCAAATGCATGAGTATGGCAAATGCATAAGGGAAGAAGTGAAGGCTACACTAAGTGAAATTAAGAAAAATCCACAGGGAACCAACAATGAAGGGAAGGAATCCTGGGTTCAAGTCAATGATTTGAAACATAAGGAAGAAATAAACAGTCAACAATACAGAAGGAAGAAACAAGAATTCAAAAAAAGAGGAGAAAAGATGACAACTCTGAGACATCTCCAGAAGTGCCAACATCAGAATCATAGGGATGCCAGAAGAAGAGGAAGAGCAAGAAATTGAAAACTTCCCTAGTTTGGTGAAGGAATAGACGTACAAATTGAGGGAGCACAGAGTCCCAAACAAGTTGGACCCAAAGAGGGCCACACCAAGACACATCATAATTAAAATGCCAAAGGTTAAAGATAAAGAGAGGACCTTGAAAGCAGCAAGGGAGAAGAAAGTTACCTACAAAGGAGCTCCCATAAGACTGTCAGCTGATTTCTCAAAAGAAACTTTACAGGCAAGAAGGGACTGGCAAGAAGAATTGAAAGTGATGAAAAGCAGGTACCTACAACCAAAATTACTCTATCCAGCAAAACTATTATATAGAATGGAAGGGCAGATAAAGTGCTTCCCAGACAAGGTAAAGCTAAAGGAGTTCATCATCACCAAGCCCTTATTATATGAAATGTTAAAGGGACTTATTTAAGAAAAAGATGGTCAAAACTATGAACATTAAAATGACAACAAACAACTATCAACAACTGAATCTTAAAAAACAGAAACTAAGCAAACAGCTAGAACAGAAACAGAATCATAGAAATGGAGATCACACGGAGGGTTAGCAGCAGAAAATGGGAAGGAGAATGGGGGGGGAAATACAGAGATTAAGAAGCATAATTGGTAGGTACAAAGTAGAGGGAATTTAGAATAGTATAGGAAATGGAGAAACCAAATACCTTCTATGTACAACCCATGGACGTGAACTAACCGGGGGGGGGGGGATTTGTGGAGGAAGGGAGTTTACTGGACAGAGGAGGGCAAAGGGGAAAAAATTGGAACAATTGTAATAACGTAATCGATAAAATACACTTAAAAATTAAGGCTAGAGAATACTAGATGTGTTTGGAACCTAGCTTCTCAAAAAACAAATTCAGATAGCCATTGGGGTTTCAACCTCAAGATTTTGTTTTTGATAATTTATCAATCAGGATATCAGTTTAGATTACAAATACAGTCAAGAATGAAGTTACAAGCCATGAGTTTTTTTGGAATTACACCTAAAATAAACTTACGTGTTTCTTTCAGATAACAGATAGCACATTAATCCAACTTTCTATACACTGTCCTCGACTTCAAGTATTGGTGAGTTTAACTCTGAAAATTTTATATTTACTAATCAAAACCCAACTCTTCCTTTCCTCTTGGTGTCTGGCTACCATTTTGGGAAAGTATGTTTTTCCAAATTGCCGGCTTACAGAAGTCCAAGGGAGGAACTGAAAATGTTAAATGTTTTCTTTATCAATACATGGAGATTGTTTAAAAAAAAAACAAACTTGGAGATTGAACACTGACATGGAAAGTATGAATTCTCTCCCCCACATGAATTACTGTCTAATCTAAATGATGTTTAAATTTCTAGAGGTCCAGGGAACAAGATAGCCCAAAACATAGTTTGCTTCACCTTGGGACCAAAACAAAAGCAGTCAAGACTTTACTGCAGGGAGTCCTCTGCTACTGCTTCTAGTAACACTATGGGAAAGTCTTCTGGTTGACCGTCTGTATCTAGGTTCATTTTTGGTGTATTTGGTAACACATTACTGTCCAAAATTGGGTCAGGGGGTTTGAGTTTCACATGTAGAATCAGGACCTTTAAGGAAAATTGATAAAGTGAAGAGATTTGTCTAAAGCGATAACCACACCTGACAGCTATAAGAATCAACTTCATTTAATTAACTGGGCACCCCCTGTACCAAGTAATCAACATTTAGTCCAAATTCCAGAAATTTTTGTACAGGAAAATCTTGAGCCCTACTTGTCCCTGTAAAGAAGAGAAGTGTTCATTTGTGGGGGAGATAATCTTATTTTGTTTATTAATTATTTCATAGTCATTACATGTATTCATAAAATACAGTTAGAATCACACAGAAATGTCTATCATTGATTGTCAAAAGCAGAACCCCAGCAACTCTAGTTTGCTTTCTTCATTTTATCATGTGGATCTAGTAATGGTTCCACTTACATCAAAATCAAACCAGAAAGGCCCCCTTTCTGATGGTAGACAGGCCTCTGGCTAGAAGAATGCCTTAGGATGTTTCAGTGTCCTTCCTTGCTCTATTTGGCCACAGAGTCTGTCTCACTGTGAGCTGATCACAGATGATGGAATTCGTCACCTGGGGAATGGGGCCTGTGCTCATGACCAGCTGGAGGTGATTGAACTGGACAACTGCCCACTAATCACAGACGCATCCCTGGAGCACTTGAAGAGCTGTCACAGCCTTGAGCGGATAGAACTCTATGACTGCCAGCAAATCACACGGGCTGGGATCAAGAGACTCAGGGTAAAGATGGCTACATCACTCTCTGGCTTTCATGTTCTCAGCACCCTTTCCTCCTCTTATTTTTTTAGATTTAGATTCCTGTGATTATTACATTTACTTACACATTTAGCAAAGGGGGAAATGTGGAGAACAAACCTAAAGGTAGATAGTTTCAGATGGAAATTTAGTAGAAAAATACCCACTAAAGGGAAGAAAAGGAGGTCTCCTCCCAGCAGAGTTCCTCCAGTAATGTCCAGAGCTTAATAACATGCCTGGAGTCAAAAGCATATGCCAGATTTTGGTTCTAAAGGAAAGAAAAAAAATAAGATAAACTATTTAGTTAAATAGGATTTAAGAATTTAATTCGTATTACCTTTCACATCAACCCCTTTTGCTGGGGTTTTCATTTTTTTAAGACAACAAATGAATCAAGTAATTTTCTCCCTTTTTCTTTTTGCCCCACCTTCCATAGTAGAGAGATCCATGCATAGCCAAATGACTGGAAGACAGGTTGCCAGCAAGGAGATTATAAGAAGCTGGATGAATCTGTGTATTAGAATATTCAGCTCAACAGACATTTATTGGAACATCTGCTTCACACCTGCTGTGAGAGAGGCACTGTGCTTAGTTATCCCTTACAACCAACCTCTAAAAAAAATCCATGTTGGCCAAATGGCACCTGATCACATAAAGGAGCACCAAACCTCATCTTGATTTCTAGTTGGCCTCGTTCCTTCTCTCCCGTCAGACCTACAAGACTGAGAGCATGACTGCAATGGGGAGTCCTTGCAGCCCTATTTCTTCTACTTGAAAAGAGGAGAGCCACAGATCAACCAGAGCCTCTTCTGTGGCTTACTTACACTAGGTCATCTCTGAATCTTCAGAGTCTTTATATGTTCTTCAAGTCCCTTAACACCTCTTCTACTTTAGCTTAGCTATTTATGTGCATGTCTAGACTATAAGTTCCCTAAGAGCAGGATCATCATGTTGACTATCTTTGTACACCTCTTAATGTAACTAGTACAGTGCCTTGAACATAGTAGGAACTCAGGAACTATTCATACAGTAAAAACTAGAAGCATGTTGTTAAAAGAGGAAATTTTCATTCTTTAAATATCAGAAGAAACATTGTTTACAATGACTTGGAATAAAATCTTATTTTAAGCTTATATAGTTTATTTCAACTATGGGAATCTAACTAGGAATCTCCTTTGGTGCAGGTTAAGGAACTGATAATGAAGTTTTTTTCCCAGTGGTAGTGTTATGGTAGCGGGTATCAGAGTTGTTAAACTCCGGGTACCAGAGATGATTTAGTCATTTAGAATAGCGTGGGATGATACAGAGTAGAACCCAGGCCTCTCAACATCTGGCTGCTAGTGTTCAGCCTGTGCCCTGCTTTCATGGCCACTCAGCCCCTCATTGTTTTTTCTGAAAAGCAACATTGCTCTTTCTGTTTAAGCCCTCTCTCTTAGTAATGTTTCTGTCTTGTTTCAGACCCATTTACCCAATATTAAAGTCCACGCCTACTTCGCACCTGTCACTCCACCCCCATCAGTAGGGGGCAGCAGACAGCGCTTCTGCAGATGCTGCATCATCCTATGACAGTGGAGGTGGTCAACCTTGGCGAACTGAGTATTTAATGACACTTCTAGAGTTACCGTGGAGTCTCCAGTGGAAGCGACCCCAGTATCCTGGGAAGGGTTACAAAGTGAGGCAGCATCCAGATTCCCAGAGCCACACAGACATACACATACCCACCCTCACCCCCACCCACTCTAGCTCTGTGACCGGGGGACTGAAGATCGTGCTGGCTTTATCAAGTGGATTGGTAAAACTTTACCATTCCTGTTGGATGTACCCAGAAGAAAATCATAGGCAAGGTAGGGGGAAGGGGGCAGTCCAACAAACCCAGTGTTACTGCTACTACAGTTTCTTTATTTTGTTAAGGGATTTTTTTTTTTTTTTTTGGCAAATTTGGAAAAGCAACTGCAGTCCTCCGGGGTCAAGGAAAGCATAGAAAAACAATGTATGTTGTATCCAGGGACCAGAAAGGAAATTTCTTTGCATCCTGTAAATGGTAGCCATCCATTGTGAGATGACTACACAGCTTCTGTGCTTCCTTGTTCCCATGCCAACATGCTGAGCATGCTCACAAAGAAGGCTCCCTTTCGCCTTCTGTTTTAGTATTTGGCCCAGAGGTTTCCTAAGTTGTTGCATTGAAATCGCTGTGGTCCAAATGTGATTACTTATTCACTCAAATTGTCACTCTCCATAGCACACTTGTGCACCTGTTGTCCTCTGTTGCTCCCTCCAGCATTCTTGCTCAGTCTGTCATCTGTTCATAGTCTGCTTACTCACACTCAATTGTTACTCTTTTGCTGTTGTTGTGTTTACAGTTTGCATTTTGGATGATTAGTTGGGGTTACCAAACATTTTTAAAAGAGACATTATCAATAAATATTTTTTTAATTCTAAATTTTACCATTAGGGGACCTGCCTGAATCTTTGCTAGTCTGAAGGGAAACTATTACAAAAGCAAGAAAAGTTATGAGAAGAAATTGAGCTAAAACTATTTTGATGAAAGTAAACTTTGCCTTTTGGTTTCTGTTGTATCTTGTGATATATGATAATACGCATGATATGCCCAATATTCCCCTGCACATTTTTCCTTCCATCAAGTTCCACTAACTTAATAAGGAAAGCAAAATGCACTTTAGCAAAGAGTGGAATGGCAAATCCCAAAACTGAGCCTGAAAGCCCCCACCACCCTAACTCAGGCATGTTGTATGTTCACTGAAATCTAGGTATGATCAGTCACATCTCTGATTTGTGTTTGTGAGGTTGTTTTGTTTTAGCAGGAATGCTGCTAGAGGAGCTGCACTGTCTAGCTAATCAGTCCATCTCCCTATCCCCATTTCAGCCTATCAGGAATGCAAGAATGACCCTGTAACAGGTGGTCAGCTGTAGGTCAGTGTTGGTGGTATCATATCTAATATTGGAACCAGAACCTTCTCAGAACCTGTCATCCATATCTCTCTTTATGTTCCAGACTTCCCATGAATGAAATACAAGTGTAGCCAGATGGAGAAATTGGGGCAGCAGGAAGAGAACATTGAGAGGAAGTAGGGGGCTCAGTGCCTCTGCCCAGCCTGGTTATCAGACCTAAGGGCAGGATAGAATATTCAGTGCCCATGACTTAGTCAAAGAAGCTGCTCCTCGACTACCAAAAAAATCATGCTGAATGAGTTAAATGGGTTTCTAAAGTAGTAGAAGTATATTTCTAAACCCCAAGGTTAGAAAGCTTGTATGATTTTTTTAGGAGAATGCCCTTTTTTGTTTTTTGGCCTTTTAGAACGTTAGTGTGCAGCCCACCATGATACTAGATCATCTGCATGATCCAGACTGTTAAAAGACTTGTTTTAATGCTTCAAGTGCTGGTTCAGCCAGCATGTGTGAAAATTAATTGTGATTTATTTCTTCCCAGGCAGCCACATGAAAGGGTCTCATTTTGCAGCCACATGAAAGGGTCTCAGAAATGTGTATGACCCATCAGTATTTAATACGTTATATTTATTTTAAATTCTATTTAATTATTCCCTTTTAAAAACTCAAATTACTTACAGTTTTAATTCACCTTTTCTCCTTACCCAGTTTACAAATTACAATGTGAGAAACATACTTTTTAAGGTAAGACTCACTCTCTTGGCTGTACCCCACACATAACAATATATACACTTGTACACACACTTCCAGATGTAGTTCATGTTATTCAGATCCCCAGGTTACTCATTCAAACAAAACTAAAAAGTAATATTTAGGAACCATCTGCTCTAATGTATAATTTTTTTATAGTGCCTGAACAAATTGACCATAAAACCCTGATTGATTAGTGAGTTTGGATTTGAATTACCCAATAGTTGAGGCTCTAAAGGTACTTCTTTACCTGAAAAATATATATAGGTTTAAAAGACCCTACTCACCCATATATGAATGTCGTGGAAATGCTGTTTTTCTCCTCAAAGAGTGAACCCACGTACAGGTCCATGTGGACTTGCCCAGGCGATCCCTGCCTATCTGGGCCAAGAACAGAGTCAAGTGAGAGAATAAAAGCCTGGAGCATGCAGCAGTATGTGGTCAGGCAGGAAGCTTGTTCTTTCGCAAGAAAACCTCAGGCCTATCAAGCTTGGAAGGAAATACATTTTTTATGCCAATCTGCAACATACACCAGCCAGCTGATGAAATGTACCAGGACTTTGAGAACCCAGAACATGGTAAGTTTTGGTCAGGTGGAAAGGGTCCTGTTATCTGAGCATAATGCTTCCTGTTTCAACATCAGGGACACTTTTGAAAATTTAGTAAGGTTTCACAGGTGTACCTCTCCTTAGGAAAAGCTTATTGTTCCATTTGTCTGACTCCAGAGCCCCCCTACAATATGCCTTCTATAATGAAAAACTGCAGCATGAACAGAGAAGAGATTTGGAAGAAGTAAGAAGGTACCCTCAAAGTTATTGCCATAAACCTGCCAATAGCCAGGAGGAATTATTACAGTGTCCTCTGAAGGAAGTTATTAAACATCCAGATCGTTTTTCCAAGCAGCCTTTTCTCCCCTTACATTCTCCAGCATCATTTGCTACATCACTATCTTTGACATCCTCTTCATTGGCCCCATCAAAGTGATTCCAGCGTGGTTTTTTTTTTAATTCTCCCATTTCCTTCTTACATACATCCTATTCTCACTGTCTGTTTACCGCCTCCATCTCACTCCCAGTGATGCTGCGAGTTCTTAAATTCTCCAGCCTCGCTCCCTCTTTGGGTCCTCGTCCTGAACTAGGCAAACTATCCTGAGCAGCCTTGAATTCAGTGACTGTCGTGTGGCTCAAGCCATTTTTCACTGGGTCGTCTTTGATATTTGCTTACTGAACTTGAAATCAAACATGTATATGAGCAGTAAAGGGGGTCTAGCTTCATTTTTCTCTCCAATATTTGGAACATGAAAGTACATTGTACTTAATGTAAAAAAGTTTTCTCCTGTTCTGCTCTTGAGTGGATGTAAAAGTATTACATTGTGTTTTGTAAATTTCCACATTCATGAATTAAGTTGATTTAGCAGACATATAAATTAGAAGTTTTACATATTCCTTATATCACACATTTTAGAGGCAAACTTGGTAAATATTTTTATGATGCTTTATTTTTGGCTTTCCAAACTGAACAGTTCAATATAGCTATAACGCTATAGCAGTCAAGTTCTTATATCCTAATTGCCTTATAAAATGCATTGTTACTGGTTTAATAGCCCACTAATGCAGTAGGCAGCTAAATGAAGTATGCAATGGAACCTGTCTTGGTTTGAAGTTGTTAGGAAATATGATAGTATCACTGGAAAGAAAACGGTGGTTTCCCGCCTGCCTGTATTGGCAGCATATCCATAGGAACTGTATTTTGGAAAGGAGAAACGCTGGCCCATCATGGTTGCAGACCCTTGGCCATTTAATATTTATTGTGCTGAAAGTAACAGACTGCTCATAGCAGTCACTACCAGTGAGAGAGGAAGTTGGTCTGTTTGCCTTTTCCCTCCTTGTTTGCATGATTTAATTGTAGATTTCTGTCCCTGTTATGGATCCTGCTGACAGACTTTCAGTGATATGCTTTGAGCTTCTGGAACATTTTATGAAAAGATTGCGTTCTTGATCTGCCCACCAGTTCTAGGATCGTCACCCACCTCAAACCCAGGCCATGCGAATGAGCCAAGTTTTGTTTAAAGAGAGGGTTAGGATGTTTGGTTGGTCTTAAAGCAGAACCCTTCTTACAATGATCTAGGAGCAAAGAAACCTAAATGCAGTAGGAGAGTGAGGGAAAATACGGAGTCTTTGTCTCTCCTCACCCTTATTTCTGTCAAATTTTAATTGTAACATTGGAAGATAAAGAAAGCTGCCAAAGACCATGTAAGTAGTGTATAATTAATAAAATTTGGCTGTATTTGCTGTATCCAGATGCCCTAACTTACCATCTTGGTTCTCGAGCAAACACAATGCTTCTCTTAAGCTTGCCTTGTCACTTGGGACCTTCTATCTGCCAGAAACTACCATTTGAAGCAAGTGAGTTTTCTGCCCAATGGGCTTTTGCAGCTCCCTCCTCAAGGCAAGTCTACCTATTTTGTCCATTTTTATTCTTGGGAACATCAGTGGTACATTTCTGAAGCATTTGATCTTTAGGAAAGTCAATAAAAACCTCTCAGCTGAATCTTAGTGAATCTATGGAGCCTGAGAGAGTTACACTCAATTTTCAGCAGGAGAAATTTTGTTGGACAAGCTCACACGTGGGATGTTAAGAGGAATTCCATAAAGCACGTCTTCCATCTCTGCTTCATGTGTTTTGAGTAAGCCTTTGGTAGAATTTGATTCCCAGGTGTTGACTCTCAGTGCTTCCTGCACCAGTGTGGTTCACTGCCCTTCAGGAAAAAGAACCACAACACAACCAGAATGGTATCGATTGACCCTCTGTATTTTCTGTTTTTCAGTGTGGTGGTTTGAAGAATTGAGGTGGGAAAATGGTAGATGAGATTTCTAAAGTGAAGGAAAGAATCAGTTCTGGAACTGGAGTTCTTTGCTTCAGGCATAAGCATCTGTCCTGAACATACAGAAACAGCTGCTTCACGTGCAAATAGATCCATACCCTTTTTACTGGCAATGAGAGCTTCTGCTTTCCACACACCTAACCAGAGTCATCCACGTGGGGATTGGCACCACTGAAAGAGAGCCCCCAGGGCTTCCCAGCTGCTTCAGGGCACAGTGGTCACCAGGGCAAGAGCAGGTAGGCAGCGTGAATCCCCACCCCAAAAAGAGGTGGGAGGAGAGAGTTGTCCGGACATACCTTTTCTCTTCTGCCATAGCCCAAAAACCCAAGGAAATCTTTGAAGTGATGTCTTTTTTTAATTAATTAAAGTGAAAGAAGAACTTTGCCCCACTAAGTTTTGCTTGTCATTGTCTCTTACTACTCTTTCTTATTCATTCAAATCTCTACTGCACTGCTGTTCACACACATGTATGTTTCTTACCTTAGTCTAACCCTTCTCAGCACCTGAAGTCATTGTTTTTCTTTTTTTGTTTTTGTTTTTGTTTTTCTTTTTTTTTTTTTATGGCACTAGTGAATGAGAACCTAAAGTCTTAGAAAATCTTAACTTGGAAAGGAGTCTCTAAATGGCATGGTTTGATTAGTTTACTTTTTTCCCCCTAAAGACTTGAATGATTTTCTTCCCTAGTGCTATATAATAGATCTGTAATAAGTGCAACCTTTGCTGCTACTCTTCTGGGTTTACAAGTTTTCTCCTTCCCTTAAGAATAATTTATCTGTGCTTCTCTGATGACTGTTATTTCTAATAAGTGCAGGAAGAGGTGAGCCTGAGATTTCTTCTCTTACTCCCCTCCTCACCCTACGCCCGAATTACTAACCTCTACAACTTTTGTAGGATGGGGCTCATCAGAAGCTACCTGTGCTTTCTCTCACCTCATTGTAGCTCTTGGAGCTGGCCGCTGAGGCTCTGTGGCCGGCCAGTACTGACGGTTATTTCTTAGTTTTGCCTTTCTCCATTCCTGTTTCATGACTCAGCCTTCAGATGCCCCCCATTCTGGAAGCCTCCTTTTTCCTCCCGGGAATCATTTCCGAATAACCTGCCTGGGGCATTTCTCAACTGTTCTCCCTGCCCTTTGCCCACCTTGCAGTGATCCTGAGAGCACAGACCTGAGAAGCGGGGCCTGTGTGGTGCTCAGAAATACTGTGAGGACTGTCCCCACCCGCCAGACTGCTTGGGGACAAAGATAGATGGGTAAATGGTGCTGTGGGAGAAGTTGTTGTCTTCAAGCCAGTCTCTTTCATCCTCACACTGGCCCCCCTCTGATCCCAGCCCTTGAGGGGGTAAAATGCAGAGGAAGGTTGACTGGCAGTGTCCGATCCCAAACATTGTTGTCTGGCCTAAGCCTTCCCCAGCCTTTTGGCCCACCCTGGAGTGCTTCAGAGTGTGGGAGCTGCTGCTTCCTGTTTCTCCACCAACGCTTGCAGTCCCTGGGACCAACACAGTTCCCTACATGGTGACTTAACACCGGATTCCATTAGCTGTCCAAGTGACTGTTTCCACCCAATACTTTTGGCACCTGAGATTGGGGGGAGGGAGCGTTACTCGAAATAAAATCCAAGGTGGCAGTAGAGGATTCCTTTTGCTTTAAAATCTTTGGACTAAAAAGAAATGTTTTTATATATAAATATATAAATTGTTATGTAACTATTATTGTTTCCTGTATGTTCTAATTTTGTTTTATGATGTAATTAAAGGAAATAAGCTGTGAAGACTTTTCATTTTGCTGCGGAAATAGCCTGACTTGGAGCTACGATTCTTAACTTTCTTGAACCCTAGAATTGCAAAGGCTCCTGAGGCTGAATGAAGGGGCTTCTTTTGGCATCCTTGTATTTTTAAATATTGTTTAATAACCTTTATTTAATACCTTATTAGTAGTCTTTTTTTTTAATGCCCTGAACTCCACTGTCTCTAAGAAAAACCAAAGACATAGAAATCAGAGCTTCTAAAAATTTTTGTCTTTGATAGTAGCAATTCAACCTGAGTCCCTTATCTGTGCGGAGGGTTGCCCTAACTTTGGCTAGGAAGGAGTGAGGATGGCATGTGTGAAGGTTAGACACACAAGCTCCCAAGTCAGATTGCCTGACTTCTACCTGAAAGTCAGGTGTCTCATCTTCATTGTTAAAGTAGTTGTAACAGTACTTTAGAGTTGTGAAGATTAAAAGAGTTAATAATGGCACATTTTAAACACATGTTGCCTGCTTGTATTCATTGCATTTCAGCAAATAATTTCAGTGTCTGGTCTGTGTTAGAGGCTCCTAGGTTGAGAGATACACAGAAGTTAATGATACTAGGTCCCTGTCCTTTTGGTGGAGATGAGCAATAGAGCCAAATATGCAATCTAAGTTTAAACCTCAGGGTATCCATCCTGCCATGAAACACCCCTGGGCAGTCCTGTGGACTAATAGACCCCACTTGAAGTCCACTCATCCTGCTGAGGTAAAGACCTGGTGTGAGACCAACGGGCTCCTTTCCAGGGGTACAAGCAGGTGCCTACTCAGTTTCCCATGTTGAATCAGCCTTGAATGCTGAGGGAGGTGCTTACCAGGTCTTTAAGGATAAGCAGATTTCCCCTTCCCCATCAGTTCTTAATTCAGTCAGTGTTTGGAGTCTTCCTACTTCCTACCCTCCCTAGCCAGAGGCTTCCTGGCTCACCAAAGATGATCAGTAAATGATAACTGAGGTAAATGATTAATAATAAAGAATTAAGCAGGTAATCCTTAAGAGGGTGCCTTGGCCTGTTTTCCACTCTGTGCATGTGGATTTTCCCTTTTCAGTATGTTTGAAATTTTTTATGATAAAATGTTGAGAGAAGGGAATGAAAAGAAGAGTAAGATGTGGCCTGGTATCACTTTTTAAAAAAGCACTTAATATAAAATTTTCTACTTGGGAAAATATACACCAAAAAAATAGTTGCAGGTGGATTACAGATCTAAAAGTGAAATGCGAAATTAAAATTTAAATTTAAACTTTGAAAAGTTTATTTATGATCTAATATAAGGAAAGACTTTCTTAAGACCTAAAAATAAAAAAATTAATAAATTCAACTACATTTTAAAAATAAAACATTATGGCCTCAATGTTCAAGAGTAGCTATAGTATTTCCCAAATACCTAGAACTGCAAGTTTGTTGTTTTGTTCTGTTTTTTTTTTTAATAAGCACAGTGATTTGATAGTTAAATGGTCTTTTGGAGACCTTCGTGAATAGTTTTTGCTGAAACTAATTGAAAAAAAATAAGTCACCGAGATTTATTTATTCCTCTGTCCCAGACTCCATCCTCACCCTAGTCTATAGTTTAGGCAGAGGACATTTCTCCAGGAGGACCATACCGCCAGGAACATTGAACAAGCATTGGGGTGGGGGCAGGGGGGATTGCAAAAAAGGAAGGGGTAAGTAAAATTTTAAACGAATTAAGGGGCAAAAGCTCATATTGCCAGTTTTTTTGCCTCAGGCTTGACCAGTTCAGCTCATCTTGGGGAGCTGTGTCCCAGGTTCCAACAACTGTTGCTGCTAAGCAGAAAGAAATGTGAGCCGGGGGCTGCTGGCTTCCTCCCCAGGGGAAGGACACAGGGTGGTTTGGCTCTTCACCTGGATTGGAGCTTGGGGAAGCAATGAGGATTTTCTGGTGAACATGGTCCCGGAGCACCAGGCTGGCATCAGTCTCTGCCGCAGCAGGGCGACCCTGGGCCTAGGTCAGAACCAGGTAGTAGCCATCTGGATTCTGCACTGAAAGCAGTAAAAAGGGCACCGCTGGGATGAGGCCGCCCCAACCGCTGCGACTGTGCGCTGCAGCCCGTCTTCCACAGCCAGCTGGTCTCCCACCCCCACCTCAAGTCCACCTTCTTTAAGAAGCCTCCCTGTGTGTGTAGCGTCACAGCAGGGACAGAGGGCAAGCACCCAAATAGCCAGAACTACCAGCTGACTGGTCAGCGAGCATCTGCTCTCCTGCCGGGTATGATGTAGGTATGATGGGGCAGAAGAAAAATGGGGTCTTGCCTGCCTTTGTAATAAACTACCTAAGAGAGAAACGCGGGCATTTCCCCCGCCCCCCGCATGAGAACATTTTTTCCAGTCACGGTTTTCCTGAGCAATAAATAGCTTTTAGCTATATGAATCTCCGTCTTTGACAAAGCTAGCATCGCCCTCCAAAACCCTTACCTTTCTTCACCACAGCCACAAAGTGTGATTCATCCTTAAGATTCTGAACCACCTGCAAGGGAGAAGGGGTCACTGACAATTAAGCTCTTACAGTCAAGCAGAATAAGCCAGAGTAGGGGAAGGGAAACAAGTGATCCAGACCTTTGTGGAGCCTTGTAAGCAACTGCCACCCCTTTACCTGGTCGCTGAGGAGAATGAGGATGCCTCCAGGGCCCTGGTGGAAGAGGCGGTGGATCTGATTCGCTGGGAGAGCCAAGAGCTCTGCCAGTTTCCCCATCAGCTCTATGACACTGAGCTCATCCAGAGAAATCTCTTGATAAATTCCTGGGGTGTGGGTGGCACAAGGGCAGGCGGTGAGTGGAGGACCGGGCCCAGAGAAAGCCCCAGATACCAGGAGGATGAAGGCATGGTGACAGCCTCATGGAGGTGGTGCGGGTGAGGGGAGAGAATAAAGAAGGAAAAAGGCTTGTAAGTCCACTTGGTCTTCACCTATTTCATCACTCTCTCCCCAGGCCAGAAGAGATTTCATGCAGCCACACCTGAATTTCTTAAGAGAGGCCAGAACCTCACCTGAATCATGGTTCTTAGGAACCTCATTCTCTTGCCTAGAGGCCTCCTGAGCCACATACAAAGTCAGCCGGTGACGGATGGGCCTGGGCCAGGAAAACAGTCTACGTATCAGCCCTTCATATTTGAACTAACAGCTCCCACTTTGAGCCCCCATCCCTGGGAGAGACCCTGCTTCCTCCCAGGTCTCCAGGGAGAAAACATGAAGCATTTAATGAATGCTGAATGATGGGGGAGAGGAAATGAGAAAAATCTAACTGTACCCAGAAATTGAGTGATGCAAATGGGAGGGTGACAGAAGTCATAGGAGCCTAACTTTTTAGCCCAGCCCTGGCAGCCTGTCTTGTAACTTCAGGCAGGTCACTGTCCTTTCTCGGCCAGAATTTCTTTCTCTGTGGAATAGGTATCCTTCAAGATGCCCCTTGGCTTGAACATTCTTGAAACATGACTACTAGCTGAATTGGTAGGTGCTACTACGGTGGGACGGGGACCCTGGTTGGCAGTGCCCAGCACCTGGCTCTAAGAGTATTGAAAAGGCGGATCCCGTCGGCAGCCCCGCAGATCTGGATAAGGTCCTGCCGGGTCAGCTTCAGCAGATCGGTGCCTGCAGAGGCAGACAGGACCAGATTGGGGGAAGAGCCTTGGATCAAGGCTGGCAAGGGACACAGCCCGACGTTAGTCTACAGATAGCCCTAGTATATCCAGGCTTAGTCAGACTTAGATTTAAACCCCAGCTCTGCCACTTGCTAGCTGGGTATCCTTGGGCAAGTTATTTAGCCTCTCTGAGACCCGTCCTCAATGGGTAGTATATAAATTGTATGGAAAAATAGAAGAGAACCTAGCAAGCATGGTGCCTGGCAACTCTTAGTCCTAAATAAAAGTTAGTTGAAGGACACAAAAACGCCAGGGCAGAGGGCAGCTTCCTGCTGAGTGTCCCACCACCCTCAGTACCCTACAGCCTCACCAGTGAAATTGGCTAGTATCCGGCAGTAGCTGGAGAACCGGTGCCAATGCAACCACTGCTGCGTCTCTAAGATGGAAGCTCCAGGGTTCAGATCCTGAGACATAGAGAAGGCAGTCCGGGTAACACCACGAACCGACAGACTGAAAACAAGGGGTAGGGGAAAGGGTCCCTGCCCTTGGGGGCCGCAAGTCTGACAGGGGAGGCTCATCCTACTGGTGGGAAGTGGCGCGCCCCATCAGGGAAGTTTTGTGATCTGTTGGCCATACCACATCTGTCCACCAGGGGGCAGGCCCCCCGTTCTAGAACGTGAAATGAAGCTGCTGAGGGTTTAGGACACACTGGGTGGAGAGTTGAAAAGGGAAAACTCACCTCAGCTGGGCTGCCCCCCAAGGTGTCCGAGATAAATGGGGGTGAGCAGCAGAACCTGTGGGGGAGCCGAGAGTCAGGGGCTCTGCGGAGCAGGGCAACCCGCTGCTTGCCAGGTGTCGTTCCCCAGAGCACGGGTCTGAGGCTCTTCGGCCTCAGCACATCGCTCAACCCTGCCGTCCCCAATGCCTGGGCGGAGGAGTTCTCTTCACTCTCACCCCAAAGGGAGGATAGGGAGTGTTTATCCCCGCTCACCTCTCCGGAGACAGGAGCTTGCAGGAGTTGGGGGAGATCTGAGCCAGAGGACTGAGAGGTTGGTAGGGTCCTGCACTGGGCTCTGGCCACGGAGAACACTGTGGGCAAACAAACAGCAGCGTGGGCCTGGGCAGTCCGAGGGCAATGGTGGCTGTCCCTCACCTCCCTCCGTCTATTCTATTAAGAGTTGACAACGCACCTGCCTTGACCAGACTTGGTCCCTGCCCTAGGAGTCCCTAACAAGAACAGGAAGTTTCCTCACAAAGAAAAGAAGAAACTAGCCTGCAGGTCTGGCTGGGGGAATTAGGGCAGGCTTCCTGGAGGAGCTGGCCAGAAGCAGCAGCGAGAAGGGAGGCGCTCCAGGCAGGGGGAGAAGGGAGGTGGCAGCGATGGCAGGGCACAGGAGAGGCGGTCTGGAAGGTGTCAGCTCCTGGAAGTCCTTACAGGGAAGGGGGGAGGAGTCTTTACAGGTAACTGGGGGAGGGAGGGGATCGTCCTGGAGCAGTCACAGCCCTTGAAGCCTGTTTCGGCAGGTGTGCAATGAGCATCTTTTCTCCAAACCTCTCCTCCCATCCCTGCCTCCCCCCCCCCACACACCTCCACAAAGACCGTGCTCTCACAAGCAGCCTGATACTTGTCTCTCTCGTGCAGGGGCTGTTTCTCAATCTTCTCTCGGTCAGTTTTCAGTTTCCGGTCAGCTCCTTTGGGCTACAAGAGGGAGACATGGAAACCTCAGAGGCCCCTCTTCACCTGCACACTTCTCGTTACAGAAGGGGCTCTAAGAAAGAGATCAAGCCCCATCCCTCTGTGTGCAGAGAAGGAAAGAGTCCCAGAGATGGAGCCGTAGGCTGAGGGCCCACAGCAAAGCAGGGCCAGAATCCACACCACCAGCAAGGCAGGGTGACAAGCCCTGAGAGGGAGGGGGAAGGGGACCCGATGCTGCCTTTACCTTGAACACCTTGATGAGGCAGCCAGCTGAATGCAGGTGTTCAGGTGGAAGCTCCTTGTCACTTGGCTTGAAAGTGTCAATCTGGAGGCGGAAGGGGACGCCTTTTTCTCCACCTTTTTTCCGAGGAGTGAACTCAGTGCTGATGCAGTGAACCTGAGATGGGCAAGAAGCAATGTGACTCCAGGCCCCACCTACAGTCTAGGGGTTCCACCTAAAACCTGTTGCCTGCCTGTCACCTGTCTGCCACTTTCCAAGCAACACCTATTCTTAAAGTGTAACTTTATTAGGTTCTTTCTCTTGTTCAGAATCCTTCAGTGGCTCCCCAGGGTTATGGGGTGAGAAACACAGTTTCTGGCCCCGGCATTTGAGTACCTTGAAGAGTCAAGTCAAGCCTCACTGCGTGGCTGCTCTCACCCATAGTGAACCTGCTGACCCATCTGGCCAGCCTATGCCCCAACACTCCTACAGCGTTCTCCGGAGAACCCTCTACCTGGAAAGCTCTCGCTGCTCACGTCTGAGCCAAGACATCCCATTACAGCATAGGGTTGCCAGTTAAAATACAGGATGCCAGTTAAATTTGCATTTCAGATAAACAACAAATAATTTTTTAGTATAAGTATGTGCCAAGTATTGCATGGGATATACTTAAATCTTTATCTAAAATTCAAATTTAACTGAGTGTCTTGTTTATTTTTGTTTGGGGGGGGTTGTTTGTTTTTGTTTTTCGCTTGCTAAATCTAGCAGTCTACTCCAGAAAGCCTTCTGGCCTGCTCCCCACATGGCTTGTAGCCTCTGTGTTCCTCTTAGCACCAGGATTCCAAGGGCAACCAGGGTCTCCCCGCTCTGTTCACACCCAGTGGCCACTACAGCCTCCCACAATCCTGTGAAGAACAGTTATAGGGTCTAACCTTGAGGGTGGGGAAAACCCTCAAAGAGATTTTTTTAGTTCTCTCCACGCTTCCCAGAGAGTATGTGACCTGGGCAAGATCCATGCTAGGACGTGGTAGAACAGATGCTGTGCCGCATGTGCCTAACTCCTAGTGCAGGCACTTAAACCATGGTGGGCACTCAAAAAAGGGACTTTGATAATATTGTTTGATTATAAAGGGAAATCTATTCACCATAGAAAGTGTGGAGAACATTAAAAAAATATAGAAGGAAATAGGCTTCCCTTATCACTCCACCCCTCAGAGATACACTGTTGGCATTCAAATACTGTCTCTTCCCATCTTTTCTCTGGGCAAGAAATAGGGAGGAAAATTTGTGTGTACACACACATATATTTTTGGTTTTCACAAAATAGAAATTAAACTTTAAATACAAGTTTGTATTCTGCCTATTCTTTATGTATAGGAAAGCAGTTTTTCTTGTAATGAAATATTTCTGAGTTATCACTTTGATGGCTACACAATTTCCATTGTAAGCCTGCACTAAACTTACTTAGAAGTCAGTCCTCTCCTGATGGACATTGTGATTATTCCCAATCTTTTATAGGATAAATTTCTTGAAGTGGAGCTACTATGTAAAAAGGTATGAATATGGCCATGGCTCATGTGACTCAGTGGATTGAGTGCCAGCCTGTAAACCAAAAGGTCACCGTTCAATTCCCAGTCAGGGCGCACGCCTGGGTTGCAGGTCAGGTCCCTGGTTGGGGGAGTGCAAGAGGCCAGGCAACCAATCAATGTTTCTCTCTCACATCGATGTTTCTCTCCCGCTCTTTCTCCCTCCCTGTCCCTCTCTCTAAAAATAAATAAATAAAATCTTTTTTTAAAGGTATGAATATTAATTTAATAAATTTAAGTGCCGCCATACCTACAGAGTAGTTGCACCAATCTGCATTCTCAGGATATGAGAATATCTGTTTCCCTGAACGTTACCAATAATAATTTGTTGAGTCTTTGAACAGTTATAATATGAAATATTTTTTAAAAATTAATTTTAAATTACAGTTAACATTCAATATTATTTTTTATTAGTTTTTGGTGTAAAGCATAACGGTTAGACAATTATATAATTTATGAAGTGATTCCCCCAATAATTCAAGTCCCCACCTGGTACCATACATAGTTATCACAATATTAATGATTATATTCCCTATGCCATACTTTACAGCCCCATGATGTATATGAAATTTTAGTTATCATTTTATGAGGTTGACCTGTCTACATTTAGTATCCTTATATAAATTGCCTACTTATATTCTTTCCCTATTTTTCTATTGGGATTTCATCTATTTTTTTCTTATTGATATATGAGAACTTTTTATATATCAAGGATATAATAGATTAGCCACGATTTTTCCCATTTAGTGTCTCCTTACCATGACTTTGTATGAAGCTAAGTCCAGTGTTTTGTAGTTTCTTCCATTGCTTTAGTGTTTAATAAGTTCTTCCTTATGGTGAGATTCGATAAACCTTTATCCATATTTTTTTTCCCTCAAGGTGTTTTCTAGAAGTGATTTCTTCTTATCATCCCCTCACCCCCACCTAAACTCACCTCCCTTTCCTATCTAGGCCGCCACCACCTCCATCTGACCTGCAGCTTCAGACTTACCTGCAGGAAGAGAGAAGTCCTCTTGGTTGGGTCCCAATGAAACTCCACTGTGTTGAGCTGCGAGGGCAGCACCTGAGGTTCTATCAGCCCCACAGACAGCGGTACATCTGCAGACACAAGGTGACTAGCAGGGAGCAAGGCTCAGCCGTCCCCATCCATAACCAAGCCAGATAGTGGCCCTAAAGGGTCCATGGTCACTCTCCACTCACCGATGTCCAGGATGCGGTCCCCAGGTCGGCTCCATCGCCACCCATCCAGCTGCTGCTGCTCCGTGTACTGCAGGCGCCGGTCATGGAACACCACCCGCGCCACGCTCTGTGGGCACAGGAGGGCGCGGTTCACGGGTCAGAGGGCTCCTGGGCATTGGGGAAGCAGCTCCCACACCTGGCGTAGGCTGGCCATCCCACCCTTTCCCCACGTGCTTCCCACTCCCAGGGGCCACAGGACTTAGAATCACTAGGTTTGTGTCCAGATGCCCACCTGCCACTCTCAAGCTGTGAAACTGGGGAAGTAACTTAGAGACCCTGAGCCTCAGTTTCCTCATCTGTAAAATAGGGGAGTTAATCCCTCCCCACTCTTAGTCATTCTACCCATTTCTTTTCTTCGCAGCAGTTATCAATTTGCAATTTGTAAATCAACTTCTAATTACATATAATTTGTGTAATTACACATTTGTCTCACTCGGGGAATGCAAGCCCCCTGAGGAAAGGAACTACATCTGTTTCTTTACTGCTGAATCCCTAGCTCAGAGGACAGTTTCTGGCAATACATGAGAGCTAAATGAATAACTGTTTGAGAGAAGGAATTGTGTGTGAATAACTTATTTCTAAATCCCAGTTTTGCTACTTACTGACTCTGTTTCCTTGAGAAATACCTAACCTCCTTGTGCCTGTTGCCTCAATAATTCCTGCCCATTACTGCGAAGGTCAAATTAAAAGGTGGCCTTGAGAGGGTTCTACTTGACAATGACATCACAGTGATGACACTGGCTTCTTGCCCAGAGGGACAGTCATACCCAGCCTTTGCCAGATCTGGGAAGGGACGCACCTACCTTCAGCAGCCGGGGCCCCGGGTTGGCGTCACCCAGCTTGGAGGTGCAGAGCATCTGCACCTCATAGGACTGGCCTGGGAGAGATGAAGGGGACGTGTGAGCCCCACTCTGAGGGGCGTGGATGGTGCCTGCCCCCCCAGCCCACCCTGGCACAGCCTCTAGAGCTTGCTGCCCCACCAGCCCCTTTCTCTCCCAGGCCCAGCATACCCTGGTTCAGGTAGGTGAGGGCCTCCTCCTGCTGCTTCATGGCTGGCGAGGTAGCTGCACAGAGCACATACTGGAACGTGGGGCAGGGCGGCTCCATGCTGGGCATGTTGGGCAGCTCCTCCTGCTTCAGGCAGGGCAAGGGCAGAGACTCCCTGCCAGGAGGAGGAGGGCACTGCCAGCTCCCTGCCCTGTCCAGCCCGTCCCCAGTGGGGCTTTGGCTCTCTGTGCCAGGTCCTATTTCCCGGGGGCCCCCAGTTTCCTGTGGCAAGCACCCTGGCACAGCCGAGGCCAAGCGGGCCCCCACTCAGCTCCTGTGGCCTCTGGGAGACCCTGCTAAGACACAAGTCCCAGATGCTCCCAGATACCTGCAAACAGCTGGAGTCAATTACTTGTTTGCAACCTCCAGGCTTGCCTGACACCATGTCAATGCCCAACCAAAGTATCCTGAGCAGGTGGTGGTCAGAGTGTTTTGAGATGTCCCAGGACCCACTAAACTCCAGGTACATTTGACCACATACCCACCCTCAAAGGAACCCAAGAGCAGGAAGCCCATCCTCCTCCACTTGAAACAGATGGCCCTACCATGTCTGCCACAGCTCAGACCAGGGCCTTCTTGGGGACTGAGAGAAGCAGGTCTGGCCCTTACCTGAGCAAGCTGCTTGGAGGCCCAGAGTACAATTCCCCAGGGCTGGGCCACAGGTGCTCTGGCTGGTTGTGCCAAAACAGCATCTTGGAAAGGGAGCAGGGCCAGGAGCGTGACAGAGCTCAGCACTGGGTTAGGCTGGAACCGCTGGGCTGTCTACCTGGGGCCTCCGCCTCTATATATACAGAAGCAAACCCTTCCGTATAAAGGGCGGGGTGAAGTCTGGGGCCTGTGATTGGGGCTGAGTACCCAGGGGCCTAGGAAACTCTGGACCTATTAGGCAGCCCAGGCTGGGGGTTAATCAAGAAACGGTGTCCCCAGTGCTCCCTACCAATCATTAACTTGAAGGGGAGATGGCGATACAGCAGACAAAGTCACAGGGATGGACGTCCATGCCCTCACCCTTCCCCAAGAGGCCCAGAGACAATGAGGGGGGCACCCTTAGGCTTCAAGGTTGGCCCCAGATCCATGAACCGTGTAGGTTCCTGGAGACCTATGGGTCTGGACCCCTTGCATGACCCCGTGGCAGGAACCTGACCACTCCCAGGGGACAGGAAAGGCAGACATGCAGCCTCACATGGACCTGCAAAGGGTGTTTGCTCCTTGCTGGCCTCCCTCCTCTCCCCTGACGCCAACACACAGGTGGAGTGATGGCAGGACACCTGTCCTTTCGCTGGGGCTGCCTGGCCAGGGGACTGGAGTTTACAGAACATAGTCCAGCTTGCTGTGGAAACAGCTTAGGGAGGGAAAGGCTGCCAGTGGGGAGGAGAGGGGTGTGCCTGTGGGTGACCGGTCCCAAGGCAGCAGGAGGAGTGAAGCTCCCATGGGGTTGGCTTCTTTGTCCCCCCTCTGCCCCGGAGTATGGGGTGGATGGTGTTTATGGACAAATACAGTCTGCCTGGGGGAGGGCTTCCGTCCCCATGATCAGCCCCTGTTGTCACTGTACACAGACGGCCCCAGCCCCTGATGCCCATCCACCAACTACTGTGTTTGGTATAAACAGACAAGGGCCTTGCAGATAGCAGAGACAGGGCTCTAAACACACAGCCTGAGCTCAGGTGATCCTAGCTACCCAGGCTCTGTGATTCTGAGGAGCCTGCCTGGGGGAGAGGGAAAACAAAGTGTCCCTCTACCCCACACCGGGCAGGGCATCTCCATCTCCAGGTACCTGGCCCTTGGTTCCTATACTTACTTTCTCCTGCCACAAAGCCAGGCAGAGTGGAAGAGGGGAGAAGAAGGGGATGGGAACGTGCCTGCCAGTGGGGGCCAAAGAAGCCCAAGTACCCAAGATCCCCGGGATAAGACCCCAAAGACTTGGAGAGCCCACCCATTGCCCAAAGCTGGATTCGAGGCAAAGAGGCCTCCCTGGGGCCCTCCAAGGTGGGACAGAGCAGGATCCCAGGAAGGCCAGGGGAAGGGCAGTCCGAGGGGTCCCGGCCGCCTCGGCCCAGGCCTGGGAACAGCAGGAGAGAAGCCGGTGGGTGGAAGTGAAAAAGGTGGAGGCTGGTGCAGGCCCCCTTTGAGGACACCCTCAAGCAAGTCTTTTGAGCAAGTCCTGGGAGTGGGACTCCAACTCCAGCACCCAATCCCCTGCCCTCTCACCCGCCCTCCGGCTCCAGAGCTGCTAATATCCTCCTCCTCCCCCTTCCCCAGTCCCATCTCTTCTCCACTAGTCACTACTCCTTCCTTCCATCTCTCGGCACTTCCATCCCCACCCAGATGTTTCTGGGCCTCTTTCTGGTTTTCCATGGCTCTCTAAGGAAAAAAGCCAGGCTCGAGGCAGCGGATCCTGGCTACTTGCAGGCCCCACCCCACTCTTTCACTGGGCCCCTGGACCAGCATGGCACAGGGGCCGAACAACCCGTCCCTAAGCCCAGAGAGGCCTCAGGAAACTTCTGGTCCAGGCAGCCCACTCTCAGAGGAGTCTCAGGCCCCTCCGTGCAATGCCCCTGCGGGTGTGAGCCGTGCCCTCCTCTGGGAGGCAGAGGCCCAGGCTCCTTCTCTTTACCTTTCCGGATGGGAGCAAGACCTCTCCCACCCACCGTGGCAGTGAGGATTAAGTCTGTGGTGCTGAATCTTTTTCCAGGGTTTAATTACCAGAAGCTTCCCTTGGGGTAGCGGGGGACACCAGAAAGGACTCCAGTGTCCCAAGTCCTAAGGGGTACAGACATGGCTGTCCCAGAAACTTCACCACTCAGATAATTTCGGGGCAATTCTTTTGGGTGTAATTTTTTTAAATGGATTTTTTTTTGCCACCCAAAATGCTCTGTCATTTTCTAGGCCATGGCATAACTCCATCCTAATAATACCCTTTTGGGTTCCTTAAGCCAAGAAAGTAACTTTTTATCTGTAAAAATGCTGAGAAATAACAATTCAGTGTCCTTTTCTCCTCTAACCAAAACATTTTGTTTGATTTTGCTTTCTATCCCCAGGCAACATTTGAACCTGGAGAGTTGAAGAGTGAGGTCTACCCCTCCCTCAAAGAAAGAGGGGCTGAGCCCTGGCTGGTGTGGCTGAGTGAACTGAGCAAGCGCTGGCCTGCGAATGAAAGGGTCGCAGGTTTGGTTTCTAGTCAAGGCACATGTCTGAGCTGAGGGCCAGGTCCCAGGTTGGGGGCATGTGAGAGGCAGCCAGTTGATGTATCTCTCACTCACAGGTGTTTGTCTCCCTCTCTTTCTCCCTCCATTCCCATCTCTCTGAAAGTAAATAAATAAAATCTTTAAGAAGAAGAAGAAGAAGAAGAAGAAGAAGAAGAAGAAGAAGAAGAAGAAGAAGAAGAAGAAGAAGAAGAAGAAGAAGAAGAAGAAAGAGGGGGCTGAGAGGAAAAGTGTCATTCATTCATTCATTCAACAAAATGTTATTAAGCGACTACTACCTACCAGTCTCTCTCTCTCTCTTTTGCTCCACACATTGTACTGGGTGGGTGGAATTCTGCCGGTACAAGGCTCAGGAGACACCTTTTGCTACCACTACACTGGTGGTCAAAAGGCCTGGGCCCTGAGTTCCAGGCGAAATTATTTTTAAAAGGAAGGGATATTTTAGACATCGTGTGCAGGAACATGTGCGCGCACGCGCACACACAGAGGAAGCTGACAATGCCATAAGGCCATCCCTGTGTGGTCTGTGTGTCAGTGCACACAAATACCTCCACCCGCAAGAAGCGATCCCTCTTCCCAGTAAAGTGCCTCTGAGGACTGTCCGTGCAGGGCTCCAAAGGGCACCGCATGAAACAGCGCCCCCTAGACTTGGACAATGCGTAGGCTTGGCTCCAAGCCTCCAATCCCTTACTCCTGGGAGTGGTTCTCAACCACTAGTAAGTCTGGCCTTGGAAAGACACCCTTTCCTCTCTTCCTGTATCTAACTTACCGCCTGCTTCTTAACCGTTCCTGCAAGCACAGCCAGTTGGTGCTTATGTTCTCCTGTCCTGTCTGTGCCCTTCACCAAATTGCTTCATAGCAGTCTTCTGGTGTTCAGTTTATTCTTTGTGTACTTTGTCTATTTTTTTCACCAAGAGTGGAAGTCCCTTGAGTGCAGGGACTAAGAGAGGTTTGCTACAGTTGAGGTAAAGGGTATGGTTGTCAAGATAGACTGAATTCAAGTGCAGCTGTGTGGTTTCAGACAAGTAACTTAACCTCTCTGAGGCTCAAGCTGCAACTATGAAAAGAGGATGATGACAGCCTCTACCCCATAGAGTAAAAACTGAATGAGATAATAGCTGAGCCCTCAGTAAATGTGGGTGTCCTTTTTCTATGTATCCCCAGTGCCCAGTACATCATAGGTTTATTTACTTAACACTTATAAGTTTATTTCTATAACATATCTATGGAGGGTCTATTTGTCAAATAAACTATTCTTCAGTGCTTTTCAAACAGCCTAACTTCTGAGGCAGATGCTAGTATTTTATTATCCCACCCATTATACAGATAGGGAAACTGAGGCTCAGAGAGGTAAGTAATTATCTCAAGAACACACAGCTAAGAGAAGACAGAGCCAGGGTTTGAACCCAAACAATCTAGGTCACAGACCCTGTTCTTACTCACTGTCCTATGTCCCACTCTACCTGATAAATTTAGTATAGAATTTTAAAATCAATCTCCAAATGACAGTCCAACCTGGGGAGCTGAAGAATGAAGTCTACTGCTCCCCCAGAGAAAGCAAGACTGATAGGGGGAGCATTTCTCACCCATGCATTCATTCATTCGACAACTCCCGAAGACGCATTAGACCCAGCAAAATGATTCTGATGATGGCAGTGACCTTGGGCCTTTCTAAGCTTTGACCTTTCCAGCTGCAAAATGGGGACAGAATGCTCTGTGTCTCACTCCTGGGCTGTGAGCCCTGGGGCTGAGTAATATGAATGAAAGTGGGCTGGGCTGTTCGGGTAGAGGGGGGAGGGGAGGCTAATGATGGGGAGGACAGGTGCAGGAAACAGGATTTGCGGCCTCATCGGGTGAGGCCACGATGGGGTCCTGCTAGTCTTGGGTATTCCCTTGGGATAAGCAGCATGGGGAAGCTTCAGGAAAGAGGGCAAAGCATTGCAGGCAAGGGGAGCAGCCGTCCTGGAGGATTTGGAGTTGTATGAACCCCCTGGAGAGAGCCCAGTCCCATTGCTCTTTACAACCGCCCTGTGAGATAAGCCAGTTCCCAGTTAGAGTAGGAAACAGAGGACTGCACCTTACCCAAGATCACTAGCTAGTAAGTCGTGGGCTGGAACCTGAGCCACCTCAGTGCCTTGCACAACTACAGTCCACCCAGGCCAAGGCACGGGACTCCTTCCTGCCCATCCCACAGTGAAGCCTTTTGCTAGAGGACCCTGAGGGCCCACCACCCCTGTTCCGTTTCTTTTTTGTTGCCTTTGGGAGCCAGAGGGCCCCCCGCCCCCAGACACAGGGATGACTGTACGGCTCCTCTGTGAAGAACCCGCACGTTCCCCCATCGTTCTCAGAACTATTCTTAAGCTGGGCTGTGAAAACGCCTGGGTAGCCATGGCCCGTCTTCCAGGGCATCGGAGGCACACAATGGTTAGTGCCTAAAACAATTTTTTGGTAAGAAAACCCCCACAGGTATTCTTGGAGTCAAATGCAAAGCTTGCACAAACATTTAA